GTCCAACACAGCCGCAAAATTGCCCTTAATTCGCCCTTAATGTTCGCCGCGCTGCGCTGTTTTCTTTGTGGTCATCTTGAATTCTTATAAGTAAACTGCTGTTTTTAATGTTTGTTGTGACACTGATCCGATTGTAGCAGGGAAAGTGCCAAGAAAATACGGAAATCTTTGTTTGAACTCGTTGCGTGACGTACTCTCAATATGGCGTTGTAAACAATGTTTTAGCCTTAGCATCGTGCTAATTTGCATAACAGATCATAAACTGCGGCCTTATCTGTCATCGTCCTTACAAGGATCATATATCTGATGTGTCTGTAGAAGGCTTTTTACAGCCATAGAAATGATTTTGAAATATCAAAACAATCGTACTTAATTTGGGGAAGCAGCATGTAAGCGAATTTTGCTATAATTTGCCTTGGCTTACTTAAAACTCATAATGTGTTATTGCGTGTTGGGTTGTGAAAATTGCAACATTTCTGTCAACAACGGAAAGTATCGCGTCGGATTTTAGCCCTGTCATTATAAATATTTCCACAAAAGCACTCTTAGATACCAACTTTGGCCTTCGTTTTCACGAAAATACTTCCTTTTTGGAATTTGAGTTCAGTTTAAGAGTACAATTAAAATACGCAATTTTATAAGCATGATCATTTTTTGACTTTAGAGCAGTTCTAATAGTCTCATGTCTTATAGCTCAGGCACGGTGCCATACCAGCAGCCCATAACCTTGGCCTTACTAATTGGGGAGACTGATTTACTCGCTAAATGTTTTTTACTTCCTACATTATCGACATCAATACTTGTTATTTGTTTCTAAATTGATTTAGTACCCTTGTTACCCTTGTTACCCCTTGTTACCCCTGTTAACCCTTGTTACCCTTGTTACCCCTTGTTACCCTTGTTACCCATGTTACACCTTGTTACCCTTGTTACCCCTTGTTACCCTTGTTACCCATGTTACACCTTGTTACCCTTGTTACCCCTTGTTACCCTTGTTACCCCTTGTTACCCACCTACCCCTTGTTACCCTTGTTACCCCTGTTACCCTTGTTACCTTGTTACCCTTGTTACCCTTGTTACCCTTGTTACCCTTGTTACCCTTGTTACCCTTGTTGTTACCCCTTGTTACCCTTGTTACCCTTGTTACCCTTGTTACCCTTGTTACCCTTGTTACCCTTGTTACCCTTGTTACCCTTGTTACCCTTGTTACCCCTTGTTACCCTTCTTACCCCTTGTTACCCTTGTTACCCTTGTTACCCTTGTTACCCCTTGTTACCCCTTGTTACCCTTGTTACCCTTGTTACCCCTTGTTACCCTTGTTACCCTTGTTACCCTTGTTACCCTTGTTACCCTTGTTACCCTTGTTACCCCCTTTTTTTGTTACCCCTTGTTACCCTTGTTACCCCTGTTACCCCTTGTTACCCCTTGTTACCCTTGTTACCCTTGTTACCCCTGTTACCCTTGTTACCCCTGTTACCCCTGTTACCCTTGTTACCCTTGTTACCCTTGTTACCCTTGTTACCCTTGTTACCCTTGTTACCCTTGTTACCCCTTGTTACCCCTGTTACCCCTTGTTACCCTTGTTACCCCTTGTTACCCCTTGTTACCCTTGTTACCCCTTTTACCCCCTGTTTACCCCTTGTTACCCTTGTTACGCTTTTTTACCCCTTGTTACCCTTTACCCTTGTTTACCCCTTGTTACCCTTGTTACCCTTGTTACCCTTGTTACCCTTGTTACCCCTTGTTACCCTTGTTACCCCTTTTTACCCTTGTTACCCTTGTTACCCCTTGTTACCCTTGTTACCCCTTGTTACCCTTGTTACCCTTTTACCCTTGTTACCCTTGTTACCCTTGTTACCCCTTTTACCCTTGTTACCCTTGTTACCCTTGTTACCCTTGTTACCCTTGTTACCCTTGTTACCCTTGTTACCCTTGTTTACCTTTTTTGTTTACCCCCTTGTTACCCTTTGTTACCCCTTGTTACCCTTGTTACCCTTTGTTACCCTTGTTACCCTTTTACCCTTTACCCTTGTTACCCTTGTTACCCTTGTTACCCCTTGTTACCCTTGTTACCCTTGTTACCCTTATTACCCCTTGTTACCCTTGTTACCCCTTGTTACCCTTGTTACCCTTGTTACCCTTGTTACCCTTTCTTTACCCTTTTACCCTTGTTACCCTTGTTACCCTTGTTACCCTTTGTTACCCTTGTTACCTTTGTTTTGTTACCCCTTGTTACCCTTTGTTACCCCTTGTTACCCTTGTTACCCTTGTTACCCCTTGTTACCCTTGTTACCCTTGTTACCCTTGTTACCCCTTGTTACCCTTGTTACCCCTTGTTACCCTTTTTACCCCTTGTTACCCTTTGTTACCCTTGTTACCCCTTGTTACCCTTGTTACCCCTGTTACCCTTGTTACCCTTGTTACCCTTTGTTACCCCTTGTTACCCTTGTTACCCCTTGTTACCCTTGTTACCCTTGTTACCCTTGTTACCCCTTGTTACCCTTGTTACCCTTGTTACCCTTGTTACCCTTGTTACCCCTTTGTTACCCTTGTTACCCTTGTTACCCCCTTGTTACCCTTGTTACCCCTTGTTCCCCTTGTTACCCTTGTTACCCTTGTTACCCTTTTTACCCCTTGTTACCCTTGTTACCCCTTGTTACCCTTGTTACCCTTGTTACCCCTTGTTACCCTTGTTACCCCTTGTTACCCTTGTTACCCTTGTTACCCTTGTTACCCTTTTTTACCCTTGTTACCCTTTGTTACCCTTGTTACCCTTGTTACCCTTTTTACCCCTTGTTTCCCCTTGTTACCCCTTGTTACCCTTGTTACCCCTTGTTACCCTTGTTACCCTTATTGCCCTTTACCCCCCTTGTTACCCTTTGTTACCTTGTTACCCTTGTTACCCTTGTTACCCTTTTACCCCTTTACCCTTGTTACCCTTATTACCCTTGTTACCCTTGTTACCCTTGTTACCCTTTTTCCCCTTGTTTCCCTTGTTTCCCTTGTTTCCCCTTGTTTCCCTTTTTTACCCTTGTTACCCTTGTTACCCTTGTTACCCTTGTTACCCCTGTTACCCCTTGTTACCCTTGTTACCCCTTGTTACCCTTGTTACCCTTGTTACCCTTGTTACCCTTGTTACCCTTGTTACCCCTTGTTACCCCTTGTTACCCCTTGTTACCCTTGTTACCCTCGTTGTTACCCCTTGTTACCCCTTGTTACCCTTGTTACCCCTTGTTACCCTTGTTACCCTTGTTACCCTTGTTACCCTTGTTACCCTTGTTACCCCTTGTTACCCTTGTTACCCTTGTTACCCTTTGTTACCCCTTGTTACCCCTTGTTACCCTTTTTACCCTTGTTACCCTTGTTACCCCTTGTTACCCTTGTTACCCTTGTTACCCCTTGTTACCCTTGTTACCCTTGTTACCCCTTGTTACCCTTGTTACCCCTTGTTACCCTTGTTACCCCTTGTTTACCCTTGTTACCCTTTTTTACCCTTGTTACCCTTTTTACCCCTTTACCCTTGTTACCCTTGTTACCCTTGTTACCCTTGTTACCCTTGTTACCCTTGTTACCCCTTGTTACCCTTTTTTACCCTTGTTACCCTTGTTACCCTTTTTACCCCTTGTTACCCTTGTTACCCCTTGTTACCCTTGTTACCCTTGTTACCCCTTGTTACCCCTTTTACCCTTGTTACCCCTTGTACCCTTGTTACCCTTGTTACCCTTGTTACCCCTTGTTACCCTTGTTACGCCTTGTTACCCCTTGTTGCCCTTGTTACTCCTCGTTACTTTTTGTTACCCTTGTTACCCTTGTTACCCCTTCTTACCCTTGTTACCCTTGTTACCCCTTGTTACCCCTTGTTACCCTTTTTACCCCTTGTTACCCTTGTTACCCTTGTTACCCCTCGTTACCCCTTGTTACCCTTGTTACCCCTTGTTACCCTTGTTTACCCCTTGTTACCCTTGTTACCCCTTGTTACCCTTTTTTACCCTTGTTACCCCGGTTACCCCTTGTTACCCTTGTTACCCTTGTTACCCCTTGTTACCCTTTTTTACCCCTTTTACCCCTTGTTACCCTTGTTACCCCTGTTACCCCTTGTTACCCTTGTTACCCTTGTTACCCCTTGTTACCCTTGTTACCCTTGTTACCCTTGTTACCCTTGTTACCCCTTGTTACCCCTTGTTACCCTTGTTACCCCTTGTTACCCTTGTTACCCTTTGTTACCCTTGTTACCCCTTGTTACCCTTGTTACCCTTTTACCCTTGTTACCCTTTGTTACCCTTGTTGTTGTTACCCTTGTTACCCTTTTTTACCCTTGTTTCCCCTTGTTAGTCCTTGTTACCCTTGTTACCATCTGTTACCTTGTGTTACCCTTGTTATCCTTTGTTACCCATGTTACCATTTGTTACCCCTTTTACCCCTTGTTGCCCTTGTTACCCTTTTACCCCTGTTACCCTTTGTTACCCTTGTTACCCTTGTTACCCCTTTACCCTTACCCCTTTGTTGCCCTTGTTACCCTTGTTACCCTTTGTTACCCTTGTTACCCGTTGTTACCCTTGTTACCCCTTGTTACCCCTTGTTACCCTTGTTACCCTTGTTACCCCTTGTTACCCTTTGTTACCCTTGTTACCCCTTGTTACCCTTGTTACCCCTTGTTACCCTTTGTTACCCTTGTTTACCCTTTTTACCCCTTGTTACCCTTGTTACCCTTGTTACCCTTGTTACCCTTGTTACCCCTTGTTACCCTTTGTTACCCTTGTTACCCCTTGTTACCCTTGTTACCCTTGTTACCCCTTGTTACCCTTGTTACCCCTTTGTTACCCTTGTTACCCCTTGTTACCCCTTTTTACCCCTTGTTACCCTTGTTACCCCTTGTTACCCTTGTTACCCTTGTTACCCCTTGTTACCCTTGTTACCCTTGTTACCCTTGTTACCCCTTGTTACCCCTTGTTACCCTTGTTACCCTTGTTACCCTTGTTACCCCTTGTTACCCTTGTTACCCTTGTTACCCCTTGTTACCCTTGTTGTACCCTTGTTACCCTTGTTACCCCTGTTACCCTTGTTACCCTTTTTGTTACCCTTGTTACCCTTGTTACCCCTTGTTACCCTTGTTACCCTGTTACCCCTTGTTACCCTTTGTTACCCTTGTTACCCTTGTTACCCTTGTTACCCTTGTTACCCTTGTTACCCTTGTTTGTTGCCCTTTACCCTTGTTACCCTTGTTACCCTTGTTACCCATTGTTACCCCTTGTTACCCTTGTTACCCCTTTTACCCTTGTTACCCTTGTTACCCTTGTTACCCTTGTTACCCCTTGTTACCCTTGTTACCCCTTGTTACCCCTTTTGTACCCTTGTTACCCTTGTTACCCTTGTTACCCTTGTTCCCCTTGTTACCCTTGTTACCCTTGTTACCCCTTGTTACCCCTTGTTACCCTTTTTACCCCTTGTTACCCCTTGTTACCCCTTGTTACCCTTTGTTACCCTTGTTACCCTTGTTACCCTTGTTACCCTTGTTACCCTTGTTACCCTTGTTACCCCTTGTTACCCTTGTTACCCTTGTTACCCTTGTTACCCCTTGTTACCCTTGTTACCCTTGTTACCCTTGTTACCCTTGTTGCCTTGTTGCCCCTTGTTACCCTTGTTACCCTTGTTACCCTTGTTACCCTTATTTTATATTACCCTTGTTACCCTTTGTTACCCTTTGTTACCCTTTGTTGCCCTTGTTACCCCTGTTACCCTTGTTACCCCTTATTTACCCTTGTTACCCCTTGTTACCCCCTGTTACCCTTTTGTTACCCTTGTTACCCTTGTTGCCCTTGTTACCCTTGTTACCCTTGTTACCCTTGTTACCCCTTGTTACCCTTGATACCCCTTGTTACCCTTGTTACCCCTTGTTGCCCTTGTTACCCTTTTACCCTGTTACCCTTTTCATTGTTACCCCTTTACCCCTTGTTACCCTTGTTACCCTTGTTACCCTTGTTACCCCTTGTTACCCTTTGTTACCCTTGTTACCCTTGTTGTTATTTACCCTTTTACCCCTTGTTACCCTTTGTTTACCCTTGTTGCCTTGTTACCCTTGTTACCCCTTTGTTACCCTTGTTACCTTTGTTACCCTTGTTTTGTTACCCTTGTTACCCTTGTTACCCTTGTTGTTGTCCTTGTTGCCCCTTTGTTGCCCTTGTTACCCTTGTTACCCCTTGTTACCCTTTGTTACCCTTGTTACCCTTGTTACCCTTGTTACCCTTTTACCCTTGTTACCCTTGTTACCCCCCTTGTTACCCCTTGTTACCCTTGTTACCCTTGTTGCCTTGTTTTGCCCTTGTTACCCCTTGTTACCCTTGTTACCCCTTTTTTTTACCCTTGTTGCCCTTTTACCCTTGTTTACCCTTGTTACCCTTGTTACCCTTGTTACCCTTGTTGCCTTTGTTACCCTTGTTACCCTTGTTACCCTTGTTACCCTTGTTACCCTTGTTACCCCTTGTTACCCTTTGTTACCCTTGTTACCCTTTTTGCCTTGTTACCCTTATTACCCTTGTTACCCTTGTTACCCTTGTTGCCATTGTTACCCTTGTTACCCTTGTTGCCCATTGTTACCCTGTTACCCCTTGTTACCCTTGTTACCCCTTATTTACCCTTTGTTACCCTTGTTACCCTTTGTTTACCCCTTTTTACCCTTGTTACCCTTTACCCTTGTTACCCTTGTTGCCCTTGTTGCCCTTGTTGCCCCTTGTTACCCCTGTTACCCTTGTTTGCCCTTTGTTACCCTTTTATTAACAGGCCCTTGTTTTCAATGAGGTAATTTTCGTAGTCATGGGTAAGTTTAAATTTCCTAAAAGTTCTTAGTTTGTTTTTTTGATGCGGGTCCTTTCGCTCATCATTGTGTATTTCGCTAATCCATGTTTGCTGTTCTATGTCTAAGAGTCTCTGTCGATATAGTTCATGATTGCGGAGTGTTAGTTTTCGCTGACCATATGTCGCCAAGACCTGCGAGGTTTAATAGTCGTTTTAATTTGCTTGACCAAAGTTCCTTTTTATCTTGACCAATTTGGTCTGTAAATGCTATTCCAGAGAGTTTATTTTGGTGCTCCGGCTCACAAAATTTCAGCCAATATTTAATGGCCCTGCACTTTGTCTTCGTTTGCATTGGGAAACGGCCTACCTCCGATCTGCACGCATTTGAGCTACAGAATTTGTTTACTCCCAATAGCCACCTTATGAACTTTGTTTGAACAAACTCAATTGGATCATTTTCTAGCTTTCCGTCGTGATCGACCCCCCATACCTCGCTTCCGTAGGTGAGTATTGGGGAAATAACCGTGTCAAAAATTTTCATTGTGAGCTGTACATCGTCTCTGAAATGGTCGCCCATTTCCTTCCTGAGTTTGTACAAAGCTTTAAGGGCAACCTTCTTTATTTCCTGTTTAGCGTACGTGAAGGTCCCATAAGTACTAAATTGTAGTCCAAGATATTTGTAATTGCTAACATTGTCAAGTTTACTGCCTCTATAGTATAATACGTGCTTATTCATGGTTCTCCCGCAGTTATTAAAAATTAACACCTTAGTTTTATTAAGGTTAACCGACAAGTCGTTTTCTTTGCAGTATTCACTGACGGAATCCAAATAATTCTGCAGTCCGTTTTTTGATTTGGAGAATATGACCAAGTCATCCGCGTAAAGCATACAACTTAACGGTAACTCGTTTAGTTCTACGTCATTTAGGTTCTTGGCCTTAAGTTTCTCTGAAAGGTCACTGAGATAAAGGTTAAAAAGGGTTGGCGAGAGCATGCAACCTTGTTTTACACCGGTATGGCATCGAAAGGCGGGTGTTAGCATATTTTCAATTTTCACAGATGATTTATCATTGAGTACATTGAATGTAAAATCTCAAGGAAGCGCCCCGTTACTCCCGCTAGCTTCAATTTTTGAAACAGTTTCCCTCTGGGGATACTATCGAATGCTTTACTAAAGTCAACAAAGCAGGTGAATAAAAGGTTATTTGATTTTTTGGGTTTAGATTTAACATATTTGTCTATTAGTGCTTTTAAAATGAAGATACTGTCCTGTGTACCATGTTTTTTTCAGAAGCCACATTGTTCTCGAGTAATTATGCCCTTTTCAATTAGATAGTCACAAAGCCTGCTATTCATTATTGAGGTAAAAATCTTTCCCATGGCTGATAAGAGAGTAATCTCTCTATAATTCTCTGGGTTGGACGGATCATCTTTTTGAAGATTGGTATAATTAGGCCATGACTCCACAGGGTAGGGTACCTACCACTGGTTAGGATTTTATTGAAAAGGATTGTGAGAGGCCCTTTTAAGGCCTCTTTGCCATGTTTGAACAGCTCGCATAAAATGTTATCTACTCCCGGGCCTTTCCAGTTTTTAAGAGGTCGATAGCAGTTACCGTTTCCTGTTCAGATATTTCATAATCTAGGGGCCCAAGGCCTCTGATCTTGTTAGTATGTACTCTTCGTTTTGCTGTTTTCGTGCGTTTAACTTTTTAAAGTAACTGTAAAACTTCTAAGTCCTCAGATGTATTTTTTGCATATTTTTGGATTTGCCCAGGTTGAATGATTTCCTAAGTTGTCTCCACGCAGTTTTACCATTACTGAGATCAATGCATTTAATTATCCGATTATAATGTTGGCGTTTCTTTTTTCTGCACAGGTGTTTGAAAGCCTTTTTTTTCTTGTGTAGATTTGATCTCAATTCCTCGACGTTCGGGTTTCGTGAGATATGCCTACCCAATGATTTAAGATTCTCTTTTTCTATGTTGCATTGCTCGTCGAACCATGGTTTTTCACTATGCTTCCTCGTGGTGTTAATGAATCTCAAGCCTGCTTGTTTGCATACTTCAATTAAGTTTTGTGTGAATAGATCAGTCATTGTGTCCACGTTATTGTTATTCAGTGCTGTGTTCAGCCTGTTTTTTGTTTCTCTACTTTCTAAGAGTCGGCTTAATTCGTATTTCGCATTATCATCCCAGACTAATTTCTTAAATTCGCTTAACGTGATCTCGTCTGGTTGTTTGCCGGAGCACCTTTTTTTGTGTTTTAGCATTAATGCGAATGAAAGGGAACAATGGTCCGATAGGTGGGGTTCCAGATCGTTAACAATAAAGTGATTAACATATCTGAGAATTCTACTGGAAATGATAACATAATCTACCACACTGCTCCCATTGTATTTGAAGCATGTTTTTTTCCCTGTAAGATCACCTACCACTCTGCCGTTCAGGATCCTAAGACTGAGAGCTGTGCAAAGATCAATCAGAATCCTCCCTCTGCTGTTAGTTGTATTTTCGTCCTGTGAATAGCGATAATTTTCTGTATCTATTTCATAGTCTTCTGGGATTTCAAGAAATTGATTATCGTCGTCATGGACCGCGAATTCTTGCATGCTGCCGTTGCGCGCGTTAAAGTCACCTTGCAAAATTACATCACCTTTGAGTGTAAAATTTACAATTTCGCTTTCAATATCGTCTAAAAGTTCTTGGTCGATTACTTGTGAAGTGTTTGGACTTATGTAAACAGTGCCTAAATAGAGATCCTTGTCCAGATCGAAAAAAGATTTATCTAACTTAAGTCATAGTATATTCTTATTGCGTGAAATTACGAATGAGGTTCCCCCGATAATCGTTTTCCTTATGTATACGGCAATACCGCCTGAGTTACGTTTTCCCTTGCTGTTCTCTCTATGTTTAACATAGTGCCTAAAATCATGAATTTGTAAGTCCGAGTTGCTGTCAGCATGAGTTTCTACTATCCCAAATATATCATGCTTATTTATTATACCTAATACTTCACTTTGCTGGAATTTATTGCCTAAACTTTTACTATTGAAACCGTTGATATTCCAGCATCCAATTCGAAGACTTAGACCTTCCGGAAAGCGACTGAACACTATTTAACAAATGAAAAGAAGCACTTATCTTGGGTGGTGCTTTTTAAAGTAGTCAGCAAGGGCGTTGTTACCCTTGTTACCCTTGTTGTTACCCTTGTTACCCCTTGTAACCCTTGTTACCCCTTGTTACCCCTTGTTACCCTTGTTACCCCTTGTTACCCCTTGTTACCCTTGTTACCCCTTGTTACCCCTTGTTACCCTTGTTACCCTTTGTTACCCCTTGTTACCCCTTGTTACCCCTTGTTACCCCTTGTTACCCTTGTTACCCTTTGTTACCCTTGTTACCCCTTGTTACCCCTTGTTACCCCTTGTTACCCTTGTTACCCTTGTTACCCTTTGTTACCCCTTGTTACCCTTGTTACCCCTTGTTACCCCTTGTTACCCCTTGTTACCCTTGTTACCCTTGTTACCCTTTGTTACCCCTTGTTACCCCTTCTTACCCTTGTTACCCGTTGTTACCCCTTGTTACCCCTTGTTACCCTTTGTTACCCTTGTTACCCTTGTTACCCCTTGTTACCCCTTGTTACCCTTGTTACCCTTTGTTACCCCTTGTTACCCTTTGTTACCCCTTGTTACCCTTGTTACCCTTTGTTACCCTTTGTTACCCCTTGTTACCCCTTGTTACCCTTGTTACTCTTGTTACCCCTTGTTACCCTTGTTACTCTTTGTTACCCCTTGTTTCCCCTTGTTACCCTTGTTACCCCTTGTTACCCCTTGTTACCCCTTATTACCCCTTGTTACCCCTTTTTACCCTTGTTACCCCTTGTTACCCTTGTTACCCCTTGTTACCCCTTGTTACCCTTGTTACCCCTGTTACTTGTTGTTACCCTTGTTACCCTTGTTTGTTACCCTTGTTACCCTTTGTTACCCTTGTTACCCTTGTTACCCTTGTTACCCTTGTTACCCCTTGTTACCCTTGTTACCCGTTGTTACCCTTGTTACCCTTTGTTACCCTTGTTACCCTTGTTACCTTTGTTACCCCTTGTTACCCTTGTTACCCTTGTTACCCTTTCTTACCCCTTGTTACCCCTTGTTACCCCTTGTTACCCTTGTTACCCCTTGTTACCCTTGTTACCCCTTGTTACCCTTGTTACCCTTGTTACCCTTGTTACCCTTGTTACCCTTGTTACCCTTGTTACCCCTTGTTACCCCTTGTTACCCTTGTTACCCCTGTTACCCCTTGTTACTTTTGTTACCCGTTTTTACCCCTTGTTACCCCTTGATACCCCGTGTTATCCTTGTTACCCTTTGTTACCCCTTGTTACCCCTTGTTATTCTTGTTACCCCTTGTTACCCTTGTTACCCTTGTTACCCCTTGTTACCCTTGTTACCCCTGTTTACCCTTGTTACCCTTGTTACCCCTTGTTACCCTTTTTACCCTTGTTACCCCTTGTTACCCTTTTTACCCTTGTTACCCTTTGTTACCCCTTGTTACCCTTTTTTACCCTTGTTACCCCTTGTTACCCTTGTTACCCTTGTTACCCTTTTACCCTTGTTACCCTTGTTACCCTTGTTACCCTTTTGTTACCCTTCTTTGTTACCCCTTGTTACCCTTGTTACCCCTTGTTACGCTTTGTTACCCTTTGTTACCCTTGTTACCCCTTGTTACCCTTGTTACCCCTTTTGTTACCCTTGTTTACCTTGTTACCCTTGTTACCCCCTTGTTACCCCTTGTTACCCCTTGTTACCCCTTTGTTACCCTTTGTTACCCTTTGTTACCCTTGTTACCCTTGTTACCCCTTTTGTTACCCTTGTTACCCTTGTTACCCCTTGTTACCCTTTGTTACCCCTTTGTTACCCTTGTTACCCCTTGTTACCCCTTGTTACCCTTTGTTACCCTTGTTACCCTTGTTACCTCTTGTTACCCTTTGTTACCCTTTGTTACCCCTTGTTACCCCCCTGTTACCCCTTGTTACCCTTGTTACCCTTGTTACCCTTTGTTACCCTTGTTACCCCTTTTTACCCCTTTGTTACCCTTTTTGTTACCCTTTGTTACCCTTGTTACCCTTGTTACCCTTTGTTACCCTTGTTACCCTTGTTACCCTTTGTTACCCTTTGTTACCCTTGTTACCCTTGTTACCCTTTGTTACCCCTTGTTACCCTTTGTTACCCCTTGTTACCCTTGTTACCCTTGTTACCCTTGTTACCCCTTGTTACCCCTTGTACCCCTTGTTACCCTTGTTACCCCTTGTTACCCTTGTTACCCTTGTTACCCTTGTTACCCCTTGTTACCCCTTGTTACCCCTTGTTACCCCTTGTTACCCCTGTTACCCCTTGTTACCCTTGTTACCCCTTGTTACACCTTGTTACCCTTGTTACCTTTGTTACCTTTGTTACCCCTTGTTACCCTTGTTACCCCTTGTTACCCCTGTTACCCCTTGTTACCCTTGTTACCCCGGTTACCCCTTGTTATCCTTATTACTCTTGTTACCCCTTTTACCCTTGTTACCCTTCTTACCCCTTTTACCCGTTGTTACCCTTGTTACCGCTGTTACCCCTTGTTACCCTTGTTACCCCTGTTACCCTTTGTTACCCTTGTTACCCTTGTTACCCCTTTTTACCCTTGTTACCCCTGTTACCCCTTGTTACACCTTGTTACCCCTTTTTACCCTTTTTACCCCTGTTACCCCTTGTTACCTGTGTTACCCTTGTTACCTTTTGTCACCCTTGTTACCCTTGTTACCCCTTTTACCCCTTGTTACCCCTGTTACCCTTCTTGTCGACAACTAAAAATACCTCTCCGGTAGCAGGCTATATGTGTGTATAAATACACGATAAGTCAAGGGCCTTAATTCCAGGGCAATTACATCATTGCCAGGTATCGAAAAAGTGAATTTACATGACACGTCTTTTTAATCCTCGCCAAAAATAAACCGCATGCTCATGCTCATCACAAGACTCATTTGCATACAGTGAAAGTTTACAACACCTGATTATCGCAATTTTTTTAAATTAAGATTCTTTTTTTTCGCGACCACTTAGTAGTGTTCGCTTGCTCCAAAGGAATCAACGCTTTTATGCGATAGAATTCTTGGATCGACATGTTTCGGAAAAGCTCTAAATTTAATCTTTCCTAAGCTTGCGTTTCTTCAATCACGCAATGATTTCTCAGTTTCCACAGTCTCCACAAGGATTGCCTGGCACAATGGCCTGCTTTTTGTGACCCCCAAAATGGACTAAAAATTGCGGGGGGTTACTTCCAGAAAAATTGGGTGGGTGTGCGGCATGCTTCCTGAAACCCTTCCCCTATTTCAGACCAAAAACTGTGATTTTCCCTGCCCTATTTCAGACCTATAAGGGTAACAAGGAGTAACAAGGGTAAAAAATTTGATACCCTATTTTAGACCTGAAGCCCCGGAGCCAGGCACGAGAGCGGAGCGCATGACAAGCTTTTATGGCACGTAGACAGTAGCTGGTGTAACGTTAAAAGGGAAATGGTGTTATCGCCAAATGATGAAGAAGTAGCTAATTCTTCTAAGAAACATACCCAATTCAAGACTAGAAGACACAAACCATACCCTGTTTCAGACCAAAATGGTCAAAGTTGATATCCTATTTCAAACCAAAAGGGCTAAAAAAATAACCTTTTGGCGTGGCACATACCTATACAGCCTACATAAGGGAGTACCCCCGGGGCGAAAAACGCGTTGCAGATTATGAGTCTCACTGCTTACACAAGCGAGACGTAAAATTGCAATTTTGAGCAAAAAATGGGCTAAATTTTAAACTAAAGCAGAGAAAAGTACAAAAGTCAATTTTTTGTTGGAGATTTGATAACCTGCACTGGTGAGCCAGAGATCAGAGCTGTATTTAAGAGACTCCTGGATAATCCAGGAGAGTTGGCATGTATGCATTTAACAGACTTTTTCAAAGGCTCTCAAATGCAGAATGAATGCATTTGTAAGGAATTGCATAATCCTTTTGCTTGTGATGCAGACCAGTGTTTTGACACAAAAGTCAAATGCCTGATTGGGCGGTTTGGGTTGAATCCCCTTCTGTACAGAGCAAAACTCCAGTCAAATGCTGAGGGTATGCCTGGGGGGACATGGGTGAGTTTGTAATTGATTGGTACATTAAGCATCCCTTCAAATAAGCTCCCCCCCAACTCTCTGATATAAGAAGCCCCCTTTTCTTGACCAGCGCTATTGCTGGCTACTTTCAGGTTTTCGTCGGCTAGGGACTTGTGTTTCCCAGGTGGGGAACACATGGGGTATGTTTCCCCAGAATATTTTGAAATTTTAAAGCCCTAGAACAAAAGAACGTGTTTTTCATTCAGAATATGTAGCTTTCATCAAACCTTTGAATTATCGGTCACAATCCATTCCTACAAGAAATGAACAAGTGATGAAAACTAACATACGTTTGCTTGTTAACAAATTCTGCGTAAACCTATAAAGAAACTTGTGAAAAATTGAATGAAATATAGCATTCACATGACTAAAGCATAACATAAAACCAGTGGGCCTTTATGAAAACACCATAATTATGTTTTCATTCAGATTTTATAATATATTTTTTGTTTCTTGTTCTTTCTAGAAAAAATTAGCCAACTTCTATGAGCAAAGTAGCTACACCCCTGTACTTATTTATTTATTTCTTCTTGCTAACTGCTATGAAAATTGGTTGTTTCACATTATGCTTTAAATCATGTTATTTGTAAAAACTGGATTAATTTCCAAAGAAAAGTAGGCGGCGAGTTCATGTGAAATAGCTGTTGAATTTCACCGGCCGCCGGCTGTTATTGAAAACCCTGGGTTATGCCCCTAGAAGCCTGGAGAAATCCTGGGCCTACGGCTCTTTTTGACAGAACTAATCTCAGGTACAGCTGGCAGGGTTGCCATTAAGAGCTGGGGGCTGGAGATTTCCCCTGGCTAATATGAGTGTGGCCCTCGCCTACTTTTATTGGAAAATAGAAGAAAAATAGAACCAAAAGAAACGCCTAGCTGTTTGATTCCCTGCCTACTTGTTGTATTTACCTGGCTACTTGAAATCTTAGTAACAACCTAGGTGGGGTTTTCCCCACAAGAGCAAGTTGTTCTACGGGAAGGTTTTTCACCCAGCTGTTGTTCCACAACCGCTATTCGGGCAAAATCTTTTGATGTTAAAACTAATGTGGCAATTTGTCTTGAACAGGGGTGGCAGATCGCCAGATGCATGTTCATGAGTGGCTCCAATGATAGAGAGGCAGCTGTGCTAACTAAAGGACATCATCGCCACAGGAAAGAGATCACAAGTTCATACGTGTAAGTTGGTTTGTAAACCTTCATTGGTAATACTACTAGCATAGCAAAATAGAATGTAACCAGTAAATTGGGCAGGATTTTGATAAGGGACCTCTCCCAGTTAAATTGGGCATTTCCGATGATATGCAGTTACTACTTTACAGGTCCATAATATTATCAGTATCTGAATGTGATGTGTTTAATGTTATTGAATGATGTTGTTGTTATTGTTATTATTATTATCGTTGTTATGGTGAATATAAATATAAATAACATCTCTGTTTTTTAAGTATTGGTTCTTAATTGAACTGATGAATAGACTAAATTTTGGGGGGAAGCATGCCCCAAGATAAAGACCTCCTTGAAAAGGGGTACTTATGGGCCCCTTGTCGATACAGTTGTTTACAGTCTCTGTTTTAACCATCTGGCTACTTGAAACCTCTGACTTTAGACAGTTTTATCCTGTTGCTTATGTAGATTTTTTTTTTTTATTCCAGGTCATGTTGTATGCCACAAACGGACTACGGACTGGATCAAGTCTCCAAGATTTAGGATTTCGAGGTTATCTTCAGTACTTTAGTTTACTTTGTAATCCAGCTCTTGAGTGAACCAGATAAATAAAATGTGGCTGGCTTGTTCAAAAGACAATACACTAATCTTATCCAGGACATTACATTAAAATGCATTTAAATGCATTTTAAGGGAGTTAACAATAGAGGATATCTTTAAGAGGTTGGGTTGTGTGCACGCACCCAGTAGTTGACTACATCATTCACATGAATCAGGGTGTATGAAATTTCCTTTGGCAACCTTTTTTTTGCCACAAGATGCATTGATACAATTTTGAAATTGAAAATAAAGTAAAAAATAAAAGGCAAGAATTTCAACTTCTGATTATTCTTTGTGTGTAATCAAAGTCAAAACCATTTTTATATTGTTATGCAGAAGTTGGTTTCAAAAACAAATAATGTTTGCTTAAAAATTCCAAAAGTAAGTTTTTGAACAAAATCTAGACTATCAACTCAGAACAGTTAACTGATGAATCAGAGCGGTTAATCGATAGATAGTGATTGGATCTATTTGTTGTCAGAACATTTGATGGGTAAATGCATTTGTTGAAATTGACTAGACCCTAAAAACAGTCTGTGTTGAAAGCTCAAGAAACAATCCAATTCGCTGTCTACACAAAATAAAGGAAAACTCTCCAAAACGCTTAATTGTTTGCAACTTGACAACTAAGCATAATTTGAACAACTTAGGGGGATGGCACTCAACCTACAACCCATTGCAGGTGTTGAATAAACACTGCTTTCATCGTAAATTATACTATGAAAATGCAGATAAAAATTCAATTTTATAAGCCTAGTTTATGGTGTGTCTAAAAATTTGGCTTGAAAATTAATCATGCCAAATAAATTTAGCATTTTATTCCTGGATAAGCATTAGTTTGCTTTTGATTAGTTGTGCCACAGTTATGTTATAGATATGAGCTAAGTTCTGCTAGTTACAGCAGTTTTACATCACCTTCATGTGCAAAATTGCATTGCAAAGTCATTGTCAAAGAACTACATTGTCAATGACTGAATTATTTGGCAACCTTTTAATTTAAGTTCACAATCATTGTGTCAGCAGCATTGAAGTTTCGTATTATTATTCGGTCATTGACAAGTCATTTTCTCGTTCAAAGAACCTTATGCACACTACATTGCTCTTAAAAAGTTTTGAAAAAGGATAACAACAGAAAGTCATGAATTAAGTCTAGAGTGTTGCTGAAAAGACAATCTCCAACTCAACAACGCCAAAATTTTGGCGCAAAAATGGTCAAACCTAGCACTTTTTCAAACGACAACTTTGTTAAAATATTAAAATGGGCTGATATCTAAAATATCATTGATAATTTTGCAAAATTTGAAATTTGAAAAATACTTAAAATTTCAAATTTTGTTAGCACTGTGGTTAGAACTTTGATCAAAGTTCTCATGATTTTCACATGGAGGATAAAAAGATGTAAAACTGACTGTAGGTACGATCAGACATGCAATCTACATTATGGCTTATACAGCTAGCATCAGTAACTGACAGTCTGCTGATTGATGACCTGATTAGCTTGTTGACTGATTGACCGACTGATTGACTGGCTGGCTGACCGACTGACTGACTGACTGACAGGTTGACTAACTGGCTGACTGACTGACTGACTAATGGCCTGACTGGTTGAATAACTGACTGACTGACTGACTGACTGACTAATGGACTGACAGGTTGACTAACTGGCTGACTGACTGACTGACTGGTTGACTAACTGGCTGACTGACTGACTGACTAATGGACTGACTGGTTGACTAACTGGCTGACTGACTGACTAACTAATGGACTGACTGGTTGAATAACTGACTGACTGACTGACTAATGGACTGACTGGTTGAATAACTGGCTGACTGACTGACTAATGGACTGACTGGTTGAATAACTGGCTGACTGACTGACTAATGGACTGACTGGTTGACTAACTGGCTGACTGACTGACTGACTAATGGACTGACTGGTTGAATAACTGACTGACTGACTGACTAATGGACTGACAGGTTGACTAACTGGCTGACTGACTGACTGACTAATGGACTGACTGGTTGACTAACTGGCTGACTGACTGACTGACTAATGGACTGACTGGTTGACTAACTGGCTGACTGACTGACTGACTAATGGACTGACTGGTTGACTAACTGGCTGACTGACTGACTGACTAATGGACTGACAGGTTGACTAACTGGCTGACTGACTGACTAATGGACTGACTGGTTGACTAACTGGCTGACTGACTGACTGACTAATGGACTGACTGGTTGACTTACTGGCTGACTGACTGACTGACTAATGGACTGACTGGTTGAATAACTGACTGACTGACTAACTGGTTGACTGACTGATGGACAGACTGACAGACTGCCAGACTGACTGGGTTCACCCCTTTGAAAAAAACCAATATGATGTCTATGTAAAATCCTTATTTTTATAGTTTAGAAGGGCTTGTTTTCTTCCTCAATAATCATCAAAATGTTATTTCCAGGCCCATTTTGTCTAGAAACAAACAAAGATAAAATTTAAATTTTTTGACCAAAATCATGGGTTAACCCCTTTGAAAAAATCCCACTAAGGCAGGTATGTAAAATCCATTTTTTATAGTCTAGGAGGGCTTGTTTTCTACCTCAGTGATCATCAAAACATTATTTCCAGGCCATTTTGTGCAAAACAAAAGATAAAATTTCCATTTTTTGACCAAAACCATGGAGTCTTGAAAGGCTTGTTTTCTAACTAGATGGTTATCAAATATTATTTCATAGCTTATTTATCCAAAAAACATACATAGAGGAAATTTCCAATTTTTCACCAAAATCATGGCTTACCCTATGAAAGATACCCAATATGGCGACCATTTAAAATCGATATATTTATAGCCTAAGAGGGTTTTCTTTCTCATAGATGATCAATTTTCCTCGTTACTTCTTGACTGCATGACCGGGATATTGACGTATTGACTGAAAAATTTAGTGATTTATTGACTTTGACTTGATTTACGACTGAATTAATGACTTGTCTTTACTGTATATAGTCTTGGTGGATTGCATGTCTGTGCTAGTTTGTTTCTTGGTTTATTTACTGTGAACTTTAAGATGAATCTCAGACCTTCCTTGCATTGCCCAAACTGCAAAGGGAGTGGGTACTTGCTTTCGGCGCCATGATCTATGGGATCGTTTGAGTCACAATCAATAACTTTTGAAGCTGGAAGGGTGGTTGGAATAAGAGAACAACAATTTAAGGTATTGGTTTCGCACGCCAGAAATCACTTAGTAAACGAACTGAGAGAATTAGCAAGGAGAGGAGTAAAAAAGGTTCACAGTATCATGAAAAAAGGTCTTGGGTAACGCTTTGTGTAATTTCAGACTTACTTTATCAATGATTTGTTTATGTCGCGAAATGCGCCACAAATGAGTGCGTTATGAATTCTTTTATTTCCAGTTTCCTGCAAAATCGTAGTCTTCTTTGCATTTGTCTTCGAGATCGTCACGCAAGACGTTTGTCTCTACGTGACGACCCCGACAGCCACTTAAGGAAGACTGCACCATTTTATTTCATAAGAATTAGACACAGTCAAGATATTTTTTTTTGTCTATTTATTTTCTGAAAATCACTTATTTGTGGCGTACTTTGCGTCGGCATGCAAAGTATTTTTTAAAGATAAGTCTGATTTTTATCATAAAGATTTGTCAAGAGTTTATCAAAAGCAGAACTTAGCTCTCTCTTGATTTAAACCAGCTAGTTCTTTATGCTCAAAATACAAGTGATGGTGCGAGTTTGAGAAAGACCTTAAGGTGTTTCGATACAGTTTTTCGGAGACCATAGCGATATTTTTCATTTGCTTTAGTGCAAATATTCTCATGTTTTACATTCAAAAGATGAATTGTACTAGTCATGAATGTATGGCTGTCCGCATTAATTTGAAAAATTTAGCATAGCTTCGAAACAGTGAATGTTGTAAAGCAGATTTTTGGCCGGTTCGTAGGCTAAGTTTGTCTTGAAATTTCAAGGTGTTATAGTGAATCAATCTTAATGAAAGCTTCAAACATTATTATGCACATCATGAAGATTATTTGATGAGGCTTGAAAAGAATTCTGTCCAGCCGTTCTAGAAATATCCAGAAAAGCGCTAAAAATCAAAATTTAGAATAAAGTTGCACTTAGACCGGTGGTAAGATAACAGCTTAGTTTTCAGGATCGTATGAAAGAAAATACACCAAAATTTCCAAGCAGCGAAATATGATATAGAGCAGCATTCTGACGCTACGTAGGATTAATTTGAGTCATTAAGAACTTTGTTATTATCACAGCTATTCACTCTAAAATCAGTCAGTGGTGAAAACCTCAAAGCGATCAGACAAGGATAAAATCACTTTTTAACACGAATGAAAGATATCGGTATGGTCTCCCGAAAAACTTTATCGAAACACCTTAAAATGTTGCTTATCAGCAAAATTATAAGAATTTGCGTGAGCGAAAGTTCTCTTAATAGGGTTGCCAAGTCCTTTTTTGTTTTTCCAAGTTCGCATCGACACTTGTACTTTGTTGCTGAAGAACTTATGGTTTTCTCAAACGTAAAGGCTCGGATACAGTGAAACATTGCGCGCAGTAAATTTACGTCGTTTTTTAGCGCTGAGATTGTTGCTTGCGATGTGTAGAGAATGTTTAAATCAATTAATCCTTAACAACATTGAATGCAACAATCGCTTGGTTGGAAAACGGTGTAAGTTAAAGATTAGTTTATACTAGCGACATAGACGCAAGCAAAACCGGTACAACTGAGTTCAGTGAGACCGTCAACAACAAAAGGATAAGCAGAAACATGGGAAGAAGAAACACTCATTCTTTTCTTAATCATCACTAATTCACAAAGTTAAAGAGCAAGCGTAAGATGAATAAAACGGACCCGTTTGATTTTCTTGTACTTGTGCTTTAACTGCGTTTATTACTGGTGAGAAGAGAAAGAATAAGTGCGTATTTTCTCCTGTGTTTGTGTTTATTCTTGTGCTGTTACGTCCGCACTTAACTTGTGCTTGTGTTTATGTCACTGGTGTAAACCAATCTTTACTGCGCGCGATGTTTTACTGTGTCCGGGCCTTTGGGGCGTTTATCTGGTTCACTCAAGTAGTTGGATTACAAAGTAAACAGCACGGGTACTGAAGATAACAATACTTTATTGAAGAAATAAAACTTGTCTCTGTTGTCCATTTATTTACAATAAAAAAAATATAAAAAAAAGTAATCTAGCCTCCCTCGCCCCTGCCGAGCTGCTTCCACTCTGCTCCGAGTCGGTGTTCATTCTTCTGTCCTCATTTAATATTCCAACTTTAAAATCCTGGTCTGTTTTATCTGATCCCTTCATTCAAGCTGGGGGTAGTTGGACACTTAGAAAATTCAGCCGTTTGTTCCCAAGTGGGGTGGGCAGCGTAAAGGAAAGTGAGAGTTTGCTCCTCATGTCCTCAGGGTCTCATCCAACCTTGTCACAATACCACACCAAATTAATTTGGAATTAAAATTAGCCAATATAATTTGTGTGAAAATTTTTTCGAAGTTGCGTGTCTACAAAATCAATACATCGTAAATGTCCAAGAGCCGTAGACAAGAAAAACAAGGGCACTACCAGAGTGAGCTCAGTACTCAGTGCGCTTCCGTCGGCAAACGAAGGCAAGAATTGAACACAGAATCCCGCTTGTCTAACCAAACCTACATTCCTCAAACTTCATCAAAGAGCACAAGTCAAAAAGAATCTTTCGTTTGAGAGCTTCCGATACTGGACTTCTTTTGTCCTAGTATTATATGTTTAGTGTTTAGACCTAAATCATAAGCAATTTGGTCGTCTTTTTCTTTTTGTGCTATTCTTATTGTCATTCTAAGATTTCGAAATTTCTAAAAGCAATTAAACAAAACATTTTGAAGCAAGGTTTACGCGTTACTGATTCAGTGCCGCATAAATCTTGCTTCAAGATGTTTTGATTAATTCAAAATTAACCTGCTCTTATGATTAAAGGCTGCAGTTATGAAAAATCCGCGCCACTTCGGCGTTCGAAAAGGGTTTATTTTTCCTAAGGAAAATTACCGCGAGAGAATTGAAAACCTACTTAGTTACTGCTTCTAAGAAAAATTTTGTTTTTATTTATGTAGCTTGCCGTGATGTTTTTCTGCATAATAATTGAATTACCCAAAGATTCAGTGCCGCAGAAATTGCGCTCCTATATGTTTTGTTTAATTTAAACCTTCCCTAATGACAAAAATTTGCCGGTTATTTTAAATCAGTTAGTTTTCGAAAAAAAGGTTTATTCTTTTCTTTGAGAAAATTAGCTTTGAAGAATTACAAACCTAAAAATGGTTAATTTTTTTGGGAAAAATTGGATTCGATTTTGAGTCTTTATTTATTCAGCTTGCCGTGATGTTTTCCCGCATAATAATTTAATAAAACAAATCCTAATTCCCTCGAGATTTTTAGCTTTTGTCACGATGGTCACGCCAACCGACTTCAACAGCCTTGCATGACGACCGTGACAACAGCTCCTTAAAATGCGTGGTAACATCGAAGCAGCCGCTTAAAATGAAATGGTCGTGACTGAAATGGACACTTCAAATCGGGATTCCGATAAAGGACGGGAAATGGCCAAATATTTTTTGTAAGGCTGAAACAAAAAGAATCTGGTTTTAGTCCTTTTCCGGAAACCTAATTTTGAAAATATCAATTGAAGTCACCACCAAGAAGGAAATCTTCAAAAGTAAGAGTTCAATTTCTATGATGCTGGGTTCAGGAAACTGTTTAGGTCAAAATTGCCTGATTTATCACACAAACCATAGAAATCTATTCTATGTCCCTCTTAACAACAAGGAAATAGAACAAACTACCACGGCTGTCTGACTAATCAAGCTAATTGACCTGTCCTTATTGTTTTTCCCTAACGGTTTAACACCTAAAAAATCGATTTCTTTTTTATCAAAGAAAAAATTAACTTAGGCGAACATCAACAGCAACATTTGCTTGCTTGTTGTTTTCAGTAGACTAAAAACAACAGGCAATAAAATGGATGTTGATGCAACCTAATTTAGTTCTGATTTTTTTTAAATATTTAGAGTAAAGATGTTAGACCTATACACGAGCGATGTTTTGTTTAGATGGTTTAATGATTCGAAAGCTATAAGGAATTATTGCATTTTTGGGGAAAAAAATGAAAATTAAGAGCAAAACAGGTTTTTATGCGAATTCTATTTTGTTAAATGTTTTGGAAAGCTATCTATATATAGTACTCGAGTTTTAGGTTTAGAAAAGAAATCCATAACCAGTTGCCCTCATTAGAGAGATTCTTAGAGACTATCAGCTCAATTTGATGCAATTTGTGAAAATATAGGTAAGTCAAACCAGTGCAATTCAGTGTCCAGTCCTTGCCAACGAGTACCTCCTTCCACACACCTTTCCTTAAGCTTTCGAGCACAATGCTAGCACCCCCGAAAATCAAATCCAAGACGGATAAACATTCCCAGATATATTGTTTGCAGACAAGCTCCTTCTTGGGTCGAAATGCGTTTTAATTTGAAAAAAGGTGTGGTATCATAACAAAGTGAATGAAACCCTAAAAGCATGAAAAGCAAACTCTCACCTTCCTTCACGTTGTCCTCCCCACTTGGGAACAAACGGCCAAATCTTCCAAGTGCCAAACTGCCCCCAGCAAGAATTCCAGAATCAGATAAAGTTTCCCAGGATTTCTCCATTGGAATATCTCAGAGGACATCAGAAATACACCTTCTCAGAGACAGAGCTTCCACAGCCCAGCAGGGGCGAGGTTGGCTAGATTAAACATGACCTTGCCCAAGTGATGGGCTCCTAATCTCGTGAGTGTGCCACCTGAGATCTGAAATTAATAAGAAGCTAAAATTTTAAGTAGAAAATGCAAGCCCATTAGCACTTTAAAGACATAATAGCCCTGTATTACTTGGTGTTACAATAAAATTCAGAAAAAGAGAAAGAGTTAGTAATAACCCTAGTTTTTTACTATTTTTTTATAACGGCACATTACTACCTGCAAATAGCCAAATGCTAACCTCCTGAGGAGCAAAAACCTAGAGTGAAAAAAAAAACAAACGAACAAACTGACAACTGATATTTATGAAGGAACTTTTGTAACACCAAGAAATATAGACATGCGTATTATAAAATAATAATCTGAACATAATTAAACAGAATGTGATGGTAACCAATAGTCTGCAGTGTTTGAAAGTGATTCCAAAAGTTCTCTGTGTTTTCCAATGAAAAAAAAAACAATTGCAAAGCAGCAACTGTGTAAGTTGTGGATTCAATGCTCATTAGTGTTTCTTAAATTTGGTCTAGAGATAAAATGAAAGTTTGCGATCTATAAACAGACCAGTGATCACCTTAACTAACACTAACCTTAATACTGACACCGAGTTGACACCTAACAAGTGATTGTATTACTGTAAGTTAACTTGACTTGCAATTTTGCTTCTACTTTTTTGATTTGTGGTTGTTTTGTTCCTAAAAACAAACTTTTCATCAGCAACAAGAACTTATGTCTTGAGTGCCAAAACATAGATTTGATATAATGAACTACAACCTCTTAAAGCTTTTATGGTCCATATATAAAGTTGCTCGAAAAATGTATTCAAATTGAGTTTTTTCACTGGCTATGAATGATTTGTGCTAGTGAAGGTTTAATAAATGCTAGTTGACGGCTGGTTAAAGGACCTAAGTGTGCTAATGAGCTTGCTGTTTGTTTGTGTAAATAATATAGGATTATAATGCACCATTAATGTTTTACAATGGCTTCACTTGACTACAATACTACCGACCAGAGTTCCTATTAAGTCCCCTTAAGTTTCAAATTTATAGATGTAGTTAAAATCCCAAAGAAATTTAAAATTAAAAAAAAAACAAAAGCCTTAAAAACCCTTGAATAACTAAAGAATCCTGGTAGTTTGCAGTTGTATGAAGCAATTGTAACAATGGTCTAATGGTAAATAATAATAATAATAATAATAATAATAATAATGATAAATAATTATAAGCAAGGGAAGCATTATTACCAATCACGTCCCACCCAATTGTTACAATTTTGAAGGCAAACAATTTGAAAGTTAAAATAAAATATGATTCCCTCAATATTCTTTCCAGGATATCTGCAGGCTGAATCCTGCTAATAATGGAAGAACTGTGACATTAACTAAATCTTTTGCATTTCAGTGCTAAGTTTTGATATTTCTTTATCCCTGAGCAAAATCACTAAACCTTGAGACCATAGAAAATAATCGACCATTTCATTGAATTTTATGACATTTCAGTTTTTGACTGCTTCCTTTGCTTATAAATCTGGAACAACACAGTGCAGTGCTAAGATCAAGATGCCTAAATCCGGAAGAACCTGAATCTGAAACTGCTCTTTCCCAGATTACTTGTCCGTTTAAATAAACAAAATTGTTGCTCTTAATGTTAAGAGGGCAGAAAATGGCCACCCTTCTGCAAAATTTGGCAGCAAGGTGTTGATCTCCATACACTGTCAGTACTAACTATTTCTAATAATTTATATTTAATTATTAATTTTATTATTAATGATAAGATAATATGTTCCGACTTAGCATACCTAATGATATTAAACAAGATTCCAATGAGCAGTTATAAACACCAGGTTACCAGTTTTCAGCAGCAAAGGAAACTATAGCTTGAAAAAACAGCTGACACGTTGCCTCATCACCACTGGTTTCGCAATAAAATGACGTCTGAGGAAAGAGCACAGAAATTCCATACCGATGACCTGTCACTTCTCAGATCTGAGAAGTGCTTCTGATTGGCTGAAGCAAATTTCCCTTTTTGCAGGACCAATCAGATGCACTACCCAGATCTAGGTAGTGACACATCATCAGAATGAAATAAAAATTGCTATACTTGTACTGCGGGGAAACCAGTGGTGATATAGCAAAATGTTGGCTGTTTTCTCAGTCTAAGGAATCCATTCCAAGTCTCCAGTTTAAATGAAAGCAGCCCGATTTGTTTAAATCTTTTAAAATTGCCCTAGCTATAAATAAAATTGACAAATCTTATGAGCAAAATATGGTAGCCTCAAATGCTGGAAAACTTGGTAACCTTGATGTATTGAAGTAATATAAGGTCATCATTTTAGACTATGATAACATTATTATTGTCTTAGCATGTGTCCTGGAGACCTTTACCTTAATTCAACCCAAAATACCACTACCTGATTTTCACTTCCCTACCTTAATTATTTTAGACCTGACAATCTTTCATTAAGAGTCAAATGATGAAATAACATATCCTATCCATGCCCCTGGTTCTAGAAAGCACAAAATCTTACTCTATTTTCTTGAAAATAGTCACTAATATTTTGAACAAGAGCTTGGAGAGACAAGGGCCTGTAAATTCTGTCTGACTCAAAGCAGACACAGGTATCTGGCTACTTCTCTTTTCTTATTGCAACTTGAATTTTTGAGAAATTCCCTGAAAATCTTTTCTTTTTTAGTGTTTTATACTCCTGTTGTTCAGGAATTGCATAACACCTTTGTCTATCATTAGCCATAATAACAAAGCAAAGTTTGAAAAAGCAAACATTATGACATCACAACTCGAATTGTGACCTGACTCTTGTTACAAATGAGCAATATGGCACTGGGTTCCTGGATGTAGTGATCTAAATGATTCTATGAGTGTGTAATTTCCCCGTAAAATCCTCCCACAGACCTACACCCTCCTACTAAAATCTCCAGGGGAAGGAAATATATTTCAGAAAATAAACATGACATCTAATATAAGCCATTTGCTGACTTATTAAATTCATCTATGATATATGAGCTTGGGTACTGGGGTCTAGAAAACTGATCGCAGAAATGTTTAGCTATCAAGGAAGGCAAAGGAGGTAACCATAGCAACCTCACAAGTGCCCTCCCCCCCTTAATTGTCAAACTGATTTACTGGTCAAAATAATGAAGCAAAAACCTGTGCTTGAAATGTGACCTAAACTTTTCTCAACTTTGCAAGATTGTTTGACCCCCGCTGCAGTCATAAGCTAATACTAAGATGCTGTGATAAACAAAACCACTGCTCAATGGAATCTTGTGATGGAAGCTTAAAACTTTATCTAAAAGTGGTTGTACAAACACGTCTCTATATAGGAATGACTTGCCAATTAAAGATCAAAACTTTATATTCCTTAAATAGAAGTTATTTATCCAATGAATTCTTAATTACTCCCGAAAGTAAACAAATATGCTGGTAAATTATTGTCATTTCCCAACGGCCTCTGTTTGTACAATGGTGGCACACACACTGGAATTTTATTACTACACAATCAATGAATTACCTCCAATTTGTCACATGACTGAAAAACGTCTATAAATATAAGAGATTTTGGAAATTTTTACCTAACCTACAAAAGACTCCTAAAATTTATTTTCCCTGATGAACTTAGCCAAACAAAATTTTTAGACATCTCAGTCTACTTTCTAGGAACCTCTTAAAATGCTTAAATATGATTTCTTAAGTTTCCACTGTTTCCCAGACCCCAGAGAACATATCAATCCTTGCAAAGATTTTGGAAATGTGAAAAGGTTTGAACCTAAAAAATTGGACTCTAGACCTACAGACACACCTATATATATAAGATGGAGGTTGTTTCAGTCATACAACAATTGGGTAATTAAATGATTGTCTTGCATTCTATATGATCTATAACATTAAAGTTCTGCTCTTGTGTTTAAGGAAATCTTGAGTGAATGGGGGTTGTGGAACAACAGCTGGGTGAAAAACCTCCCTGTACGTCCACTAGCTCCTAGGAGGAAAACCCCAGGCCAGCTGTACCCCGCATTCAGGCCTCCCGGGCAGGGCCAAAAATTTTGAATAATTTTTATGATCAGGATTTAAAATACTACTATATTGTAATTTAAAGATAATAATAGTGAGATAATATTAAACTAAGATTTCTAGTCAATTAAGCTATCATGCAATACAAACCAGACGTTGCAAGACTCTCCACTCTCCTCAGCCCAACCTTGCACCAGGTGCCCATGATGCCTGTCATTCCTTGCCCTTGTAGTCCATCCTCTCCATTATTTACTGAATGAGGTTCTTGTACTGGGGGCATGTGATGTCATCATCCAACCAGCTGTCTAGTTTGCCCTCTAGTCTGTCCTCTCCACTATCCAGTTGCTTTGTACTCTATAGGTGCATGCCATGTCATCCAGTCCACTCTCTAGTTTTCCCTCTAGTCTGTCCTCTCCATTATCCAATTGCCTTGTACAAGGTACACGTTATGTCATCCAGCCAGTTGTTTTGTTCCTTTTGAGTGTCCAACACACTTTCCTCAGTCTACCACTCTTGTAGTTGCTACCTGTTAAACAAGAAAGAGATTTTAACATGAATATTTACATTTACAAATGCCCATTCTATAATATAGTAATATTATTATGCTTCTAAAGATAGATAAAAGCTAAGTCATTGCCAAAAGGAAAGTAGTGAAGAATGGTATAATCATAAATTCTGCAATACGAGTGGCTAACATATTCACTATCTGTTGCTTAAGTGATAGTGAGAATTGTACTGGCATTTTGAAGAAAAATAACAAAAAATGGCAGTTACATCAACAAATCATTTTTTAGTGCAAATGGCTCATTGACTGACTGAATGGTTGATTGACTGATGGTCTGACTGTTTAACTGATTAACTGGCTGGCTAACTGCTTGAATGGTTGATAGATAAACTGACGGACTTGACTGACTGTTTATTATAAAGTAGTTGATGGACTGTTTCATGAGGAGTTCAAAATTTATGTAGAAATGTATGGGATGCTATGGCTACTTTTTTATTGGGGGAGGGGATCATGATTTTTTCCTGATATGACTTGTTTTTAGGGGGGCCACCAGCAATTTCCATTAATATGACTGAAGGTAAAAGGCTAGGACGAGGGGAAAAGAAAATGAATTACTAGAACACGAAATGATAGGGTGCAGAGTGAGAGGAAAGGAGATGGCATACTTTCACTTTTTTCAGTATCCTTTCCTCTTCCTATTGAGCTTTGAAAGAGAACACTAAAATTTGTCGGCGGAATTCTCAATATGAACTTGCCCACTGAATGAAAAACACCACAATTTTCATCATTCCACTGCCTTACAAGTATTGGATGGCGAAAGACTATCATCATGTGAAGTTGAGTTGATTGTGAAAAGCAGGCCGATAACAAAATCTTTGAATGACCCTAGTGATTGCAAAGCACTTATACCAAATCATTTACTCCTCCTTTGATCAGAACCATGACTTTAGACCCTGGTTCATTCAACAAAAAAGATGCACTCCTATAAAAGGTGGTGACAGATTTGTCATCTGTCTGAAGTATTCTTGCGTCAGTGGATTTGCAAGTACCTGCCACAATTAATTACAGGCTACTAGACAGAAGTGGGTGAATCCTTCGCGGAGTTTCCTTGTTGGATACGCAGTCTGGGTTTACATGAAAGATGCCCTAGATCATCTTGGCCCCGGGGGTGGGGTACTGCCATATATGTGCTATATAGGTATGTGCCACTGTGCTGGGTATGGTTTTCAAGCAATTTACTATAGGATAGGGTATATAAATCAGAGCATTTGGGTCCAAAATAGGGTATCATTTTTCAGGAAACTGATCAGTTGGTATAGGGGGGATTTGGGGAGTTTACTCTAGTATAGGGTAGCAAAATTCAGCTGAACTAGGTCTGGTATAGGTTAAGGGTTCCAGGGTCCCAGCAGCACATCCACACCCACAAATTCTTGTACCCCCCCCCTGGATTCTTGGTCTAACTGCCAAGATTTATGCAGGCCATGATTGTGGTCTCACATCATGAGAAGTCTTACAGTGAAAAAGGAAACTTTGTTGGCTGTGTACATTGTACACAAGAAAGCTCTATTGGAGTCTGTAGAAATCTCTCAAGGACAACAGTCACTGTTGTGAATCAAAACCATGCAGCTTATAGATTAAGAACAGAATAGTAACAGTAATACTTTGTGGGCAAAAAATTTCACTTTAGCACAGTTGAAAACTTTGCATTTTTCTAGCAGGGTTAATCCATTATTTTGGTCAAAAATTTGAAGTTTCTTCTTAGTTTGTTTTTCTTAACAATAAACCTAGTACATGTAGATAATTTATTATACTGACTGATGATGTTCTAGAGAGAAAACAGGCTTTCTAGACTATAAAAATTACATAATAACATAGTTGAAAAAAAATTACATTTTTCGAAGGGGTAAACCCATGATTTTGATGAAAATTTTGAAATTTCTTTCCAGTTTGCTATGCTTTAAAACAGCCTTAGATGTAATGTTTGATGATGTTCTAGATAGGAAACAATTCTTTGTGTTCAAGGTACGAGAACGCAACCCCTAATTTCTGTTGGGTGTTCTGTGTATTATTGGGTGTCCTTTGCAATTAATAAGCGAGGTTTTTTGAGATTGCATTTGTGTCGACGCACTAACTCACGCGGTGATTCATGCGTCTTCCGTGTGCATCTTTCAACAGTTTGCCGAGGTCTGCTATTCTGTCTTCGTAAAGCATTCATCTTTTAAAAGTTTGCTGAATCTTCGTAAAGCGTACATATTTCATGCGTTTGCTGAAGGTTTGCTATCAATCTGTGTTTGTTGAATCGTTAAAATTTTACTTTGGATCAGCGTGCAAAGAAAGTGGTGTCCGACAGCCTGGGGCTAGTGGATTTTGCTATTGGGCTAGTGAATTCTGTTTTCAACTTGCCCGACGGGGAAGTGATATTTTTGAGGAATTCAAATAACAGAAGAACTGTGAGATCAATTCTGCTCTTCAAAAAGCTTTTGGGCTAGTTGAAATGACGTCTGGGCTAGTAAATGTTAGCTTCAGCTTGCCCGAATGGCAAGCTGTAAAAATGATTTTCTTTTTTCTTTGCAACCTGCTTTGGATTATGCTTTAATATTTTTCGGCAGTTTCTTTGGAAAATATGTGCGACTCTTAGTGCAAAAACAAGCATTTTAGCTCTATCTTAATTATTCGGAAAAACTGAAAAGCCAGCACACAGTGGCGCCACTCAAGTCACTAAAATCAACACACTCAACAGTTATTGACATGTGCCGCACACGCATTCTACTGAAGGCTTTGATGATTCCCTTGAAATGTGTGAAATTGAGATGTGTAGTGTAAGTGAACCAGTGTTCAAACAGAATTCATTGTGCCCTGGAGTTCACCAACCTCGTCCCCAGGGCGCTTTTCCCTGCCTTTAGAAGTGGGGTGGGAAAAGGCCTTGGCATCGGCCAGTCACATGACCACCAAACACCCAGGGTTGTACTAAATCAGCATATGATCACATACGATACACAAAAGATCGAAGATGGTGGGTAGAACAAAGTTTTTATCAGTGCTTCGCCAGGTCAGATTTTCCCTGAGTAACGCCGTAGCTTTCCATCTCTTAATTTTAAACCAATTCAAGTAAAATGTTTCGAACCTATCCCATACATGCCAACCCTCCCCGATTATGCGGGAGTCTCCCGGATACAACACCAATCTCCCGGTCTCCCGTAAGGGTCGCTTTATCTCCCGGATAAAATCATCTTTTGAGCTTTTCTGTGCCTTAGTTTGAAATTTAGCCCATTTTTAGTTCAAAACTTGAATTTTTCTTATTCGTAACTGTAGTACGGTTTCTGAGGCATTTTACACCTATTTACTCACTGACAAAGATTATTTCTGGCATCAAAATGATGATCGCGAATATGGATAGTATCTACTTCATGTAAATCTTGATACAATGTCCTAAATTTCCGGGGTTATGGGGGCTAGTGAAAAACAGAGACTCTCCAGATTTTAAATCTGTAGAGGTTGGCATCTCTGATATCCTGAAAGGTCAGGATGTTATTGGAGTCTTACCAACTGGATCTGGCAAGTAAATGCTATTTCACAGCTGTACTGTTCTCACCACGATAAAGAACAACTGAAGTTGCTCTTCTAAAAGCAACTAAGCACAAAGCCAACCCGGCAACTAATGAGGTTCGCATGGAGAACCAAAACCATGGTCTTGCCTGATGACAAAGTGGACAAAGTGGCAATAACAAAACAGTCCAAACACTGTTAAGGTTATTCAAAAGCTATTACCAAGGAAGGATAAATGCGCTCCAGTCAAAAGACTCATATTATCTTTAGAAAAACACTAAGCTGGAGTTAACTGAGTCACAATGCAATTCTCCATAGTTGACGCAGCTTCAGTTTAAGCTGCACTTCATTCTAATAATTTTGGACCTGTAAATCACTATCAGTGATAATTTAACATCCTGCAGAGAAAACTAACAAGCTGGGCCCAGCATGATACAACATTGCAGAAAAACATAATATTCACAGACTAAAGAAAATCGCTTAGTTATTCAGATCCAAAAGGCTCTTTGGAGAAAATAAGAACCCTTATTCAACCGTAATAAAAAGCTTTATGCATCAAAAGAGATCAAAGAAATGTTCTTGCATCAGAGGGCAAATCCTGCCGACCACAAATAAAAACCACAGTAAATCGATATGTGCCCTCACCTCTCAGCGTGAAACAAGTGGCGAAAATCACATTTGCTCAGTGAAAATGTAGAACCTTCCAGAGCATAATCTACCCAGCACAGGGAAAAAACTTTTTGGAACAAGCAGTATTTGGCATGAGGTAAAAGTCGTGTAGGCCTACCACCCCCTTTTATTGCGGTTCATCCACATCAAAGGTTTTGGGTGGCATATCCTTTGATAGACTCTTCGATGGCAGATGCGAAGATGGTGAAAGTTGAATGCATTGCTTTACAGAATATTCTGAGTTTAGATCAGACGGCATGTTGTCTACAGATTGAGCTCTCCAAATAAACTGATTCATTTTGTCTACGAAAATAATGCCACTCCTACATAACACTGAAATTTTATACCACAGGTTTTAGAAACGTTCGAATACAGATCTTTAGATAAGCCAGCCTTGCTGGATATTCGAAGTATATAGCGACTCTCATGGGAACCACCACCACCACGTGTGGACATACTTTCCGCCATTTCAATTTTGGTATAATGCATAAATTATTTATTTTGTAATGTCATTTTAAACAAATTGAACAACTTGCATTTTTCCAATGGGGTTAACCCATCATTTTGGTCAAAACTTTGAAGTTTCTTCCAAGTTTGTTTTTCTTAAAAATAGGTCTAGATATGATTTTTAATGATCTTCTAGCTACAAAACAAGGCTCTACAAACTGAAGAAAATGTTATTTTATCATAGTCTAACAATTTGCATTTTTCCAAAGGGGTTATCAAAAAAAATATATTTTGGTCAAAAATTTGAAACTTTTTCCAATTTTGTTTTTCTTTAAAATAGACCTAGATATAATGTTTGATGAGGTTCTAGATCGAGTAAACATCACTTTCTACACTATGAAAACGTCAGTATAAAATAATCAAACAATTTGAATTTTTCCAAAGAGGATAACACATCATTTTGGTCAAAAATTTGAAATTTCTTCTAAGTTTGTTTTTCTTTAAAATAGGCCTTGATATAATGTTTGATGATGTTCTTTTTATTGTTTTAATCCTTTGAGTAAACACTCTGCATGGTATTTTGTGCACATTTGTAAACACTCTGCTCTGGTATTTTGTGCACATTTGTGGGAGACGGAATGAGGGAGGCGGGGAAATAACACCATCCCAGATTATAACTGAGGGAGGTGGGGGCTTCCAAACATCGTAAGGGAACAAAATCTAAAATCATTCTAGTCCCCTGTCCCATCTACATAAATAATATTATGAGCCCTCCTTTAATTGAATGAATGATTAAACAATCAAATGATTGATTGAATGATTGACTGACTGACTGTATGACTGTTTGATTGACCACCTGCTATAGCTGTGACTGACTAACAGACTGATTAATTACTAACATTCAGTAATTTTTTCATTTGATAGAATATCACTCTTTGTTTGATGAAATGAATGAATAGCTGACTGTTTCATTAACTTGTTTTTTTTACCGTCGAGCCAGGTCAAGCATACCCCATAAGATTATTTTAATGAAAGATTATTTACAAAACGGAACCATTACACATTACCACAACCAGTATCAAATTCAAATCTGTATTCCTGCATGCATAATGGACAGTGAATTTTTTTGTATTTAACCCCTCTGTATTCAGCCAGGTTGAAAAATTTTTCTTCATAAATTTCTACACAAAAAAGTTTTTCTTCATGGGCTATGTAACAATTTACTTAAAGAACGATCCCTTGGGAAAAAGTTAATTTTGTTTTGCTTGAATTTCAACATTTCCTGAGGCATGAGATTCTTAGGAAACAAAATCAACTCAATGTTTCCCTGGCAACCAGTCATTATTATGTTTATTGTCCTTTTGGTTGATAGTACATTTGCAGATTCTTCTCATTGGGTGAGAAGTTTATTTGAGGGTGGTAGTTATTACCATATTCTCACTTATTTCACGAGAATTAAATTTTGTGATTTTGTAATTTAGGAAAAATCATGAAATTCAATTCACGAATATCAAAATTGTGAAATTTATTACCAGACATAACATATCGATCCATAAAATAAACCGCAACTGTCTTTGTAAATCTCACTGTTGTTTACGATAAAATTACTAATTCTGTTGTTACTATTCTGGGGTCAAAGTTACCTTTACATATAGAGAATAGAAAAATTCACACAATTTAATATACAACAAATTCTACCTTGCCCCAAAAATTGCGAAATTAAATACTTGCAAAATATGGGACATTATTTTTTACGAAATTTAATACTCACCAAAGTAAGTGAGAATAAGGTACTAATATTTTCTATTATTTTGCTTCTCTCTGGCATTTTATCAAGGGTGCATTTATCAAGTAAATATGGTATGTCACACATATTACTATAAAAAAATCAGAAGAGTTGTTTACCTTGTCCTCAGAGCTGCCTTTCCTTGCTAATCTCGTTCTCTGGTTGTATTGCAGCCATTGTGTTGCATGTTGCCATGTTATCCCTCATCATCAAGATTCCAGAATACGTGACATAGTGCAGTCAATCCTTAAGAAAAATCACATTGACAAAAAATAAGTTAACATGTTGTTCTTTTTGAAAGTTAGAACTTGGATAAGACAACCCTGGCAGTGAAAAAGACAAGGAAACTTTCCGGTTTAGTAATTTATTCAGATGGTGCATTTTTTAAGGGATGTACTAAGCTAGGTATACAAAAGGCAGAGTTCCAGCCAGAAAATTCTGCTTAAGGGCCAAAGTGGCCCCTACAACCCATTATTGGGGACCAGATATTTCAAGAAAGGGCCAATGTACCAGTATCTCTCTAATATGCAAAAGAGAAGAAACAGTTGTCAGGTTTATCCTTTTTTGAGACGCCATGACCCATGAGCTTCTGCGATATTACAAAAGTCAAGTCGAGGCTCAGTGGTCTCCAGACCACTCACGGTAAATCAGCTAAACTCAAGAAGATTTATCGACTTTCACGTTCATTGTTGTGTACAAAGGTACGGAGTCATTGTTCTTTAGATTAAAAATTCTGTTTAATTGGAAAATCATTGTGGTTGAAGTAACAGAGACCATTTTAAGCCCAGGCAATTAAAAAGGGAAAGGGCCATAATGGCCCTAGAACGTTTTTGGTGGGGACCATCTCTCGATCTTTTGTGGGATTCACGCAATGGCGCACTCTGGCTGGAACACTGTAAAAGGGTACAATTTCTGTCCAAAATGGTATATAAAAGGGTAAGGGGTTGGACCATGGGACATGGGACAGAGACCCCCCCCCCCCAAACCCATCCCCCACATCAAATACTATTCTAATCTAGGGGCAGCACTGATAAGCAGACAATCACAGAGGCCTTGTGGGTGTCAGCTAATTTCAGGTGGCAGGTACAAAATGCAGATCACAGGTCAGATCACAAGTGCAGGCTAGAGTACATGTTATCATGCTATGGTAGGTAAAAAATGATAAAAGCGTCTCCTAGCCCTAACTAGAAATATGTTTATTGCAACACCTTGTGAGGCTGTAAAGGGGCAGCAGTATGAATGAAGGGAAACAAGCTAATAGGTAAAAAAATGTGGTTTAAAAAAAAACAAAAACCAACTGCCTCACTTAAGTGGAAGGTGGGTACCTGAGATACCCAGGGGCTTCCACTGTGGCCAGCCAGCCTCTAGATAGAATACTGCACCCATGGCTGGCAAATCCCCGCAACCCAGCCTTGAGCCCCCATCCTAGGCACCCATTGCACTGATGAAACAGTGGAAGGAAGAAAAATAAGGGATGGGAGGGGGAGAGATTGTAAAAGAACTGCTCCACAGACTGCTGCACAAATTCTCAACAATGAACTGACAGATACTAGCAGTGTACAAAAGTAAATGCGTACCATGTGAGCCTGCACTTATAGGATTAACCACTGGATGCCGGCTAAGCTTGTGGATCGCTTGTGAACTACTTGACCACTAAGCTCATGGACTGCTTGACTGCTAAGCTTGTGGACCACTTGACCACTAAGCTCGTGGACTGCTTAACCCCTAAACTCATGGACCGCTTAACCACTAAGCTCATGAGCCGCTTGACCACTAAGCTTGTGAACCGCTTGACCGCTAAGATTGTGGACAGCTTGACTGCCAAGCTCATAGTGGTTATAAACTTAGTTAAATTGGATTTAACCAAATCAAAACTAAAAAAAGGAAAAAAATACCTTGGCCAAGAGTGAAACATGGAACGGACCACTTAAATGTTTCAAAATGAAAAAAAAGAAAAAATACCTTGGCCAGGAGTCAAACAGTCGAACCACCTAACTGTAAAGTCATCTCCTAGACTCTTGTGCCAAGTCACTAAATATTAATTAGGCAAGGCAAATTGTAAATTCTCTTTGGTAGCGTAGCATTAAAAGAGAATTGATTTCTGTTTGCTATTATTTTAGCTCTTGACTAATTGTGAGATATTTAACAATTATTCCTCAAGCCCAAATGGGCCATGAGGCCATGAGGGCTCAAGGAATAATTGTTTTAGTAAAATCCAAATAGTTGGTCAAAAATATCGAGACAAAACAACTTAAAAGCAAGAGTTTAATCCTTTTTTGCCGCCAAAACTCCGGCGCTTTTCACTTCTAGTGGGCTATAACATATAGCCTAGTAGTAGCTCAACCAATCAGAATGCAGCATTGATAATAGACCACTAGTTGGATTTTACTAATTTGTATGATTATGACTCCATTATTTCTGAATGCTATTGTATGTTTTAATACATGCAGAGTGGTATTTGTATTTTGGTATAATTATAGGCTGTTTAGTATGCGAGTCATTCTCGGTTGTTACACTTCCTTTTCTGCGTGAAAGTTTTTCACTTCAAAATAATGACTGAACAGGAATGTCATCACTCTCGGGGGTCTTTCCTTGGATACTTCTGGTGTGGCTCCGATTTTTGACAGACAGTTCATTCAGTCGATTGTGGATCAGTCACTTGCAGCGGCTTCTGAAACTTTGGTAAAGTCAGTCAATGCAAGGTTAGAGGAGTTTAAGAGACGTTTCTCGATAAAGCTCGTCTAACACTCCTGAAAAAGGCAAGAAAGCCAGGTAACCAGCAACAGTTCAACCATAGTGTTAAAGTCCTTGAGAAGACTGAGGTCACACTTGATGCTCTTGATGTTGGTCAGGTGGAAAAAGCAAAGGAAGCTTTGAAGAAAGATACAAGCCTGTCTGCAGTTTAAATATGAGGACCTTCGAATGCTTTTAGAGATTTTTGAGTCAGGTTTTTATTTCTGTACTTTTAATCTTGAAAGTGGTTACCATCATTGTTTCTGTGGGAACTTCAAAGCCGGATGCAGGCAATTGCTATAGAGATTTTTGAGGTTTGTATCTCTTTTGCTATAGCCATGGAAATTGAGTGGCATCCTAGAAGCCAGAACGATAAAGCAGATTATCTTAGTTGAATCGTTGATTTGGACGATGGTCATCGAGTGCAGCCTTGTTTCAATTCATTGACTCCAGTTGGGGTCCTCATACAGTTGATCACTTTGCTTCTTTTTACAATGTACAGGTGCCTCGATTCAATTCGAAATTTTGGAATCCGGAGTCTGAGGTCGTGGAAGCTTTTACCCAAGATTGGTCCAGGGACAACAACTGGCTTTGTCCCCCTGTGTCATTAATTGTTCGTGCCATTAGGTACTTAATTGCGTGTAAGGGGTTGGGAAGTCTTATTATTCCTGAATGGCCTTCTTCTTATTTTTGGCCTTTTTGTTGACCCTATGAATGGTGCTGTAAGACATTTTTGTGAAGGAGCATTTTGTTCTTCCTCCTTGTTTTCTGCTTTTTGACCCTCGCAGAGGTCATGGATTGTATTCTAATGGACAGGAGGTTGTATTCAGGATTTAGGATTTTGGATTTAGGATTGTGGCTTTAAGATTCGATTGCACTTAGCCGGGTAGCGGCATTATGTATATGCTCTGGATATCTATGTAGGATAAGTATCAGTTATGCTGCTTTGTCAAAAAAGATTTTTTCTTTTTTCCTTAGTATATTATGTTGTGCTTTTTATTGTGTGCCTAGAATTTGATTTTTTGGCAGCAGTTGTTGAGTCTTTTGATTCTTTTGTTATTTACCTATTTCTTGTTTATTTTGTTGTTTTTCCATTTCATTTCTTATTTTAGATGTTTTAGCTTCTGATTTGTGGAATTTTGGCATTCAGGAGTTGCAGTGCAGCTCAAATCTAACTAGTCTTGCTGAGGGTTACAGGACGTTCTGTTGGCTTCTAAGGTGCCTGCTACCTTGGACAAATACCATTCTGCATGGATGGGTTGGAAGCGATGGGTGTCCAGATTTCCATGCATTGATGTGTTTCCTGCTAAACCTTTCCTTGTGGCCCTATATTTGAAGGATCTTCTTTCTTCTGCAAGTTCTGTGGCTCCAATTACTTCAGCAATGTATGGTATCCAGTGGGCACATCAAGTTGCTGCCCAACCCTTTCTCACTGACCCTGATTTTGTGAAGCCTACTTTGGAGGGGTGTACATTTCTTGGCTTAGCCGGTGAAGCTCAATAATCTCATTCCGGTGGAAGTTTTTCCAAAGCTTGTAGAAGCATATGGTAGTCCGCTAGCCAACATTGATAACTTGTGCCTTCTTTTCTTAGCCTTGGTTGGCTATGCTGGTGTCTTGCCCATAAGTGAGCTTTTACTAGTTTAAGTTGAGGACATTAAGTTTTTTCTGTCTCATATGTATATTTCGATTGCAGAAAGGGAAAATAATCAGTATAGGGAAGGTCATGTTGTGAGCATAGGTCGCACTGGGAAGCTTACTTGTCCAGTGGCTATGACAGAGCATTTCATCTCTAAGGCTCAGTGCAGCAATGAAGATTTTCTCACATGTAGCCTTGTACGATGTAAGAATGGTCTCAGGGCCATTGCTTCAGGTATTTCTTACACTAGAGTACTTGAGATTTTAAGATTAGGAATGAAACCCATCCTTGGCGATGATTTTAATTTTGGCTCGCATAGTTTGAGATCAGGCGCTGCAACTGTGGCGATGGCCAACGGCCTGGCTGGCTATGCTATTGATAAGTACGCCGGATAGTGTTATAAAAGTTTGAAGTTCAGATACATGAATGTCATTCTTTGCCTTATAAGTTGTTAGTCTCTCACAATATTGGCCTTTAAAATGTGTTTGTTTTTTTTTTTGGAGAGCTAGCACTTAGTGTTCTTGTCTCTTACGAGTCTCTTATTCTCCCAAGAATCTACAATGATTCTCAAGAAGACAAAAATTGATCCACTACGACCAGCAAGCAAAGCTACAATGCAACGCAACACTTGCAAAAGAACACACAAGGAGCACTGCAATTCCCCGAGGGCCGCCCTGGAGAGAGCAAAGACTGCTGGCCAACTCACTCGAGTTTAACTTTCCCTAAATGATATTTAGCCACATTTAAAATGTGTATGTTTTATTTTGGAGAGCTACAGTAGCTCTTAGCATTCTTGTCTCTTGGTTCCGCTAAGTTAGTCATTTGCGGGCCTAGTTTTGTTTTTGTCTCTGTAGCGGCCTACGACGGCACAGTAAACCAGAAATGTCGTTAGTTGTTATTTGTGTGTTGTTGGGAAGCCTGTTCTTAAGAACAGAATTATTATGTTTAAGGCAATTGGTCATGAAATTCTGCCAGTGGATGCTGTCTGAAGCTGGTGGAGCTGTATTTATCAAGAATTCGAAGATATATTCAAAGAAACTAAGCAGGTTTTGACGGGAAAAGCCCTACTTTAACTCATTCCATCACATAATTTTAAAGAATATATTATGGCCAACAGCTGATCAGTGTCTTGCAAACTGCCGCAAAGTCTCTTATTCACGGCGTTGCAGAGTTCCAGTTCCCTGCATTTGCATGAGGAGAATTGGTTGCGAATCACCAACAGCAACATTTTTTCACAGCCTTTCATTGCACCCAGTGGAAGTCATGTTGCTTGGAAACATTAATGCAACTCAGTATCACAATCAATGACATCACTGCAACTACCTACCAAAGCCAACTCGTGTTTCTGCCTCGCTGCGCGATCCACACACATTCCACAACTTACACAAAGTTTGACAACATTATAAACTGTCGCCACAAGGAATCAAAATCCGAAATAGAGTTTTAGCTTAAGGGGAAACTGCTTATCTCAGTTATTTATCAACAGAGCAATGACCTGCACTTGTGACCTGTGACCTGTGACGTGTGCACGTGTTCTGTACCTGCCAAATTTAGGTTCTTTCTGCAGGTACTGTCATCACAAAAGAATCAAAGGAGCCAAACAATAGAGTTCTCCTGAGGACTTAAGGTGATTCCCTGGTTTTGCACTGCGCATCTCTTACTGCGCATAACAAGATGGCCTCCGTAAAAAAGAGCATGTGAAGAACATTATTAAAATGAAGTTGACTGAAGAGAAATGCTATTGCAATTTTTGTTTGGGGTTGTTTCTTGCCGAGGTGAGACTCAATGTGGTGGGAATGTGCATAACATAAGAGGTACGTGTGTTGCTGAGTTCGACTTCATCACGGAGAACCTCGATAGTGGATGTTTAATTTGTTCACTTTGATTTTCATTTAACGCTCTCTTTATCACATTGTGTCCTAAATGTGATATCTCGATGTAAATTCTGTAAAAACGTATTTTTTAATACTTTCTTCCCCCTTTCGCAAACATTCTATTTTGAAACTCGCCCCAGTCCTCTCTCAAAAATCAAGGAAAATGCATTTGGTGCGCACTTTCTGCAGCTCTACCGCAAAAACGAGTACGGTGACCCCCATATTTTATTTCATGATTCTAATAAGGACCGTGCTTCCTTTCGGTGCGAAAAAATTGGCACAAATCTATGTTCAGTTTTTTGGTAATTTTACTAAATTGTACGGATTGAGCTATCACGTGTCGAATAGCGCGTGTCCAATTTAATTCTACTTTGGAGCGTAAAGTAAAAACAAGGGAATTAAAAGGCATTTTTCTTGTACGTAAGTGGATAAACAATACATTAAAGTCAAATTCTGTGCGATACCACATGCATCATTGAAAAAATCTTTCCTTTTTGTCTAGTTTTGGGCTGCGCGCGGTTTTTGTCAAAGGGTCCAAAATAGCCGTATTTGTCAGCATTGTGACGTCAAAACGAGCACGGTGACCCCCACTTTTTATTACCTTTTTATCATCTTCTTGACTTGTTACATCAGTGTACCAAGTTTCATCTACAATCTATGTTAGGTTCTTTTACTAGGGAATCACCTTAATTGTTTAGTTGTATTGTTTCTTTTGTTGTGCGTAATCTGTGCCTCGTGCCTCGGTACCCACAGAAGGAACCCAAATTTAATTCACGTTTCACTTTAATTTATAGCAGATCTCCTGGACTTACTATAATACTTGATGATTTGAGCCATAAGCTGAATCCTTTAATTACCATTACCAATATATTACCTGCTCATAAGACCATCATTTTCTGCGAAATAACCTTAAATTTAAGCTTGAGCTTAAATTAAGCCTATTAAACATACCTCACAAGACCCGTGCCAGATTTTTCACGACTTCTGCCATGCCTCTTGCAAGAATTTTTAGGTCATAAATAAAGCCAAGTGTTGACGAGTAAGTTAAAGAACTGCTGAAGCTCAAATCCGAGTTCCAGAAGTCCAATTATGTTACTTTAGATCCAATTCACTACAAACGTGGTCTGTGTGGTCAATAATACGTCGCCATGATATTGGTTGCTTTTAGAACCCAGTCTCTCCATTGGCGCGTGAGTCTCGCGCGCGAACTTTCGCAGTACTCGTTTCGCGTTTCTCGAGTACTCGTAAAACGCGTCCAATTGAGTCAGGCCCCAGTCGTTCAAAAGGTGGATAACGCTATCCATCGGACAAATCTCTATTCACTGGATAACGCAATTAGTTTCCTTAATACTTATCCACTCGATAGTGATTTATCCGATGAATAACGCTATCCATCTTTTAAACAACCGGGGCCAGGAAAATAAACATTAACAGTAATCGGCTCCTGACATTCATGGCTTGGTGTACGTGTACCAATTGCCGTTACGTTTGTTATAATTGGGATCGGAGAACGCAACTGGATACCTTCTAACCTTTTCTAGTAATGGGGTTGGTTCCATGGAAAAAATTGCCCAATCGAGTACGACACACGTGCACAATTTCGATGAGAGTGCCGCGCAAACAATAAACAAACAAAATGGTGTTGGAAATTATCTTCATAAGAGGTGAATAAATTCCATTTTCTGTAATTATTTTAAGGAGAACCTTCAGCAGCGACGTTTTTGAAAGACGCAAGTCAACCGGAAGTGGACTTTTTGCACTCTTGAGCCGTGAGTTTGAACAAAGTTTGGGAAAAATCGATTCTTTAAGAGTAAAAACACTCACATGTAGCAATACAAATTTAATAGTGCCAAGGCATATTAAAAGAGAAAAAGGCTCACTTCTGGTTGAAGAGCGTCGCTAAAAAACGTCGCTGTTTAAACTTCCTCTTGACTCTGAATGTGAGGACTGTGAATGGGACTCCGATTATTGTAATCACGATCCCAGACCTCTCACGTCTCTGGACATGTGCAGACGTTGTTCAGCTCTGTTGGTAATCACCTGAGTGAGATTGTTATTGTTTTAGATCGGTATGAATGACATAGGGGCGTGATTTTGGAATCAAAATTAAGGAAATATGGTGACGTTCATCCCTAAGGGTTTGACAACCGGGTGTAAAAAGAGTACAAAGCAAGCACTTGAGTTAGGAGAATTCTCTCTGCTGTCGTTTCATACGGACAAGATGGAAATAAGCCCAGTTTCCCCAAAGCGCTTCTCTCTACTATGTGCGCGCATCTCGTTTTCCTTATAGCTGTTTTCTGAAAAATAATGAAGGGTTTTTCTATCCACTCCACCATTAATTACTGCGGCCTGGCACCTGAGGCTGAGCCCGGAATACAAGGAGTTAAGAGTACTAGATCTGGAGAGCGTGTTGATTAAGAAACTTTCGGTTTGACTAAAGTCTTATTTTCTCATAAAACAGGCAAATATTGAGAAAGCACTTTCATTTAATTAATGAGCAATATACGATGTGTATTTACAGACTGAAGTAATAAAAAATACTAGTAGGTAAAGGAAACATCTGACTGAAAACAGGCAAACCAATTTTCATTCTTCTGACTACCATAGCGACAATTAGCTAGAGGCGATTCTATTTCATAGAAACAGACCTTATTCGCGATTTCAACCACGATACCCGTCACCTTTGCAAGCGCTCATGGACTGATGGGATAACAGCAATGTCACGTGGTATTTCAGGGGGTAAACAAAAGAAAAAAATTACCAATAAGAATAAAAGCCGTCGAGTTTGTTCAATCTCTCAAGCCGAAACGATGATTTAATAGTCATGCAAAATGCACGGTTCGAGTTTCGTCAAGTTTTACGTCATTATTGCTTGCTGTGAGGACATCTACAGCTGCAGGTCACAAGTGTAGGTTAGAGTACCGGCCAACATGCTACGGTAAATAAACAACACTTAAAGTGTCTCCTAGCCCTTATCACAATCTGAAATAGAGTTTTAGCTTAAGGGGAAACTACTTATCTCCATTATTAATCAACAGGACAGTGACCTGCACTTGTGACCTGTGACCTGTGTTCTGTACCTGCCACATCTACGGTCGCTACTGCATCCAAAAAAATAACAATGATCATTTCCACCCATAATTTGCCATTATCGTCTTTAAGATGAAAAGTTATACATTTTCTGCTGCATAGAATAAAGAAACTCGACCGCGATTTCTTGTATTGGCAGACTTAAACTTGTTTGCCCCCCTGACAAACCACATAACGTCGATTTAATCCCATCAGTCCTTAAGCGCTTGCAAAGATGGCGGGCATCGTGAATAAGGTCTACCAAAAAGGTATGAAGGTTTTGAATATAATGTAATTTCATTTTTTAAGTCTATCATTCTAATTAGTCTAATTTCGTATAACTAATCTAATATCTTTTAATGTGATAGTTCTTGTGTTATTATCCCCTGTCCAACTTAAAGGGGTTGTGTTACGACAGTTTAGTTCATTTTTGACCGCGCAAGGCATCGAAACAACTCGAGACATGCATGGATAGAATTAAAATTAGATGTACACGGTAGTAGTTACAGCAGTATATATCTTAGGGTTGGCTTTAAGAAAAACAGCTGAAGTATGAACAATCGAGCGAATTTTATGTTACCACTGCTAGAAAACATTTATTTATAACTTTTTGTTTTTTTCCGGAGAGGTGACTAAACAAGCCGTAATGTTTAATCGGCTAAACTCACTGTTCAACCAGTGTTAATTCCAGTGAAAAACCAGACGTTCATAAAAAGGATTTTAACGATTTCTATCTAACAATCACAACAATTCTAAACTATGTAAGGAACCAATCAGAATTCACATGAAATACAGCGCGGAAAAACGCGTGTAAAAAGTGACCAATCCCGAATGGTCGAGAAAGTAATGCGGGACTTTCCGGCCAATCGCAGTGCTTCTTTGGCGCGTCAATCAAAAAAAAGAAAAATAGAATATTTTTCGTCTGGCTGTCCTACCTAGTTCCCAGTGTTCCCTCTCTTGTCTCTCTCTCCCATCTCTCTCGCGTTCGGAGGACGAGTAGAAGAAAAATCTGGGAGCGAGGTTGCTGGCTGTCGTGTAAAGACGAAACTAACTCAACATTCCTAACCAGTAACAGTATTTGGATGGAATTCAATGAACCGTACTGCATGTTTCAGTGAAATAAAATAAACTCAGTGAAAATTGATAAATTACCTGTTAGTCACTTATTCTAAATGTAAAGCTGGTCATTTCAGTTATATAGCAGTAACATGAACAGGGGCGGATCCAGGATCTATTTTAGGAGGGGGTGCACTCGTCTCTTGCTCTACTTCAACACCAATAAACCACATAGTTTTTTTTTTTCGCAGAATACCAGTTGTATTAGAAAACCGCAGGTCATCTCAGGGAGGGGGGGGGTGCGCACCCCCTGCACCCTCCCCCTAGATCTGCCCCTGATGAAATTTAAATAAACGGCACCCTAAAACACTAAACAGCCTATAAATAAGTAAAAAGTTTAGAAAATAACTTGGTACATTTTCAAATCCACATCAAACTTTTCTCGCTCTTTTCTTGTGAGAATTTTCGCTCAACGGAAAGACGAGAGTCAAGGAATTTGACTTTGCCAACAGTCATTGTTTAAATTTAAAGAAAAAGAAAAGTTGTAATTCGGGAGGAAACGTACACTTAGTAATCATAAAAAGATTTGCTTAAAGTATTTCATGAGAAGAAATAAGTTACTTTGGAAAACATACAAAGCTTCTACCTGTATAAAAAAAACACCACTGAGTAACGTACAAAACGCGAAAAAATCTCCAGATATTTAAGGTTAATAGCAATTCCCTTCATAAATGACAAAAATATACGCAAAGAGTCGGAAAAAAAGATGAATTGAGATACTTAGCGATACCATCGAGACTTTTTTTCACTGTGCCACCAGCTATCGAAAAATATCTTCTCAAACGGATTATAGACACCAAGTATTTAACGATACTTATGACTAACCTCCTATCAATACCGATTCTTTGCCGAACGATAGCCGATAGCCGAATAGGTACACTTTGGAAACCGACGATCATGGTTCATCCCAATGCGATTTATTCCGACAACACTTCGCATCTCCTCCCAAAACCAGGCACCCTATCGACGACCAGTCATCGACATGAGGCATGCACCGACCGCTGAACGTACAAACACGGACTTCTTTTCCACTCTTAAGTGACAATTTATTCTTGAATAAGCCAGCGCAAGAAATTTACCCGCTTTCTTATTTTTGATATTATTTACAGTGCATATGGAATATAGTGCGACTCACGGAGTACACAATACCAGCAATGCCGCGATCCAGTCGTTAAGTAAAGTTTCTAGTTTTTCTTTTTGGCTTGTAGTCTGTGTTCCTCTTCATGTCTAGCTGTGATATCGTCGAGTCGCTTCGTCCAGTTGTCGTAAAACTCCTGAACTTCTTGCATCAGCGAGTCCATCATGTCCAGATTCCTTTTGGCCATTTCGTATCCAGGCCCTCCGAGAAGTTCGAGTTCATCTGCAATAAGAACAAACCCAAGCTATAGTGTTCTGATGGCATAAATGGAGAAAAAAAAGGCTTTTTTAGTTAGGAGGCGGGGAGGTAGGAGTAGTACACAGAATTCGCAGCCTTATAAACGAGAAGGAAAAGCATTTTGAAAGCCTGGAACAACAGGCTACAAGGAAACTAAGCCGAGTTTAGTTTCGCTAACTCTTCTGGGATCGTAGTAATTGGCCACTCTAGTAACAGTCCCAGAAGTCTTTGCGAAAGTTAACTCGGCCCAGTTCCCTGCCCGTGTCTAAAGTGACGAATATCCCTCATGAATGTTTACGTCAAACGAGCAAATCTTACCACCAAGCCTCGTTTCGAAAATCTTGCCATTGGTCAAGCTCGTTTTCAGATCTGCGCGCACCTTCGTCACCGCCGTCGCTTTTTCAGTTAGGGACCTTAAGATCCGACGACGGCGACGGCAACGGGAACGCCCCAAAAGCAATAAGTTGAATAGGCAAAACAACAACAATGCACGTGCATCACGCTTTTTTGTACATTTCTTCGCCGTCACTGCACGACTACGACGGGAAAATGCCTATAATTTCACGTCCTTTGGAGGACGTAAACAAACTACGGTTAAATTTTCTTTCTCTTTCTGAACTTGAATAGGGTTCTTAGGAATCGGCTCAAAAACAGTTCACTTACTTTTGACAAAGTATATGAGTTGGAGTAATCGCGATAGAGATTGAAAGAATGCAAATTCACTTTTTAAGCGACGTTTTCGTGGCCGTCGCCATCGTGGTATCTCAAACTCCCTATTTCTTAATCCGTCTAATGTCACTTTTAGGAGTCCAAAAAAACTATTCTGAAGTAAAGCAAAGAAAGTTGTAAGTAAGAGGAAAAAAGAAGGTAAACTTTCCAAAGCTAAGAAGACACGTGATTGATGTTTTCATTGGTCACGTGGGCGTTGTAATCAGTTGGTCTTGAGGTTGACGATGACGTGACTGATTTTCGTGACAGATGGCGCGAAAGATCACGTGGCCATTTTTCTAACTACTTAGATGGTTTACGACGCGTTACTTACGTCACTGATGACGTTAGCATGACGTCATACCATATAAGACCGAATGTTGTCACACTCCAAATGTTATTACATTTAAGACTTAAAATTACATTTAGGGTTAAATCTCATTACATTTAGGATTTTTTTTTAAATTTAGGTCAGTTATTACATGTAAGCCTTCTACAAATGTTACAAATATGAATTCCCAAGATAGTTGTTTTGAAAAGAATACTCATGCACACAGAGTGAAAATGCAAAGAATTTTGTTCACAAACAAGGCTTGGTGGTGAAATTTGCTCGGCTGATGTAACACACATAAGGGCCATTATAACTTTAAAGCTGACTCTCTCTCTCTCTCCATGCGTGCAAAAGGGCGAAAAGGAGAGAACGGGCCTTGCGCTTCGTCACCAGTCACTCGCGTGTCACACGCGTTTCGCGCTAGCCTCTATGTAAAAAACGAAGCGCCTGAGGAGGAGGTAGACTTGTAAGGTTACGAAAGAAATGACATGGTGGTATTGTGGCGCGGGTACTTAAAAAATGGTGAGTTCACATTAGTGCACATCGAGTACCGTAAACGGGCATCGTGCCCAGGGAACAAGTATAACATGACATTAGCCTTTCGTCTTACCCATCTCTGCCTTTTTCCTCCAGTGCCTCATGTATCCGTAGTCCCAGATAATGCCACAAGCCGACAAAAACAGCAGCAAGCCAATGCAGGTATAAATGGAGTTCCGGAACAGAGGAGAGTTGGCGTCAAATAAGCCGGATGAGCGCTCAACGGCTGCACTCTCTTTTGGCTCCTACGAAACAATAAGAAAAACGAAATAATACATTTATTGAAGTCAATGACATCAGTAGTTCGTCCATTATCGTTCCCAGACCCCATAGTTCCTTTTAATCACGTTATCTCGATGGCTACAAATTAAGCCGAGTGGCTCTGGGGACGAAACTGTAGGTTGTCTATTCTCGTTCCCAGACCCCTTCGTTTCTTTTGGTCACGTGGTATCGGTCGTTATGAATGAAGCCGAGTGGCTCTTGGGACGAGAATGTAGTTTGTCTAGTGAAAGTGGTGTTGCTGATGGATGAATAAAGTATCATCAGTAGTTTGTCTTACTGTGATCTTTATTAAAAAGACTGTAGTTGGTGATAAATGTGTGAACCTGGAAGTATCAGTAATTTGCCTTGTGTGATCGTCCATGTGAGTGTACTCTCTAAAAAAGGCTGGTGTTGGTGAATGATATATGAACTCAATAATATCAGGGCATCGTTGGTCTAATGTTCTACGCCAGTGTAACCCCTTAAAGGGCTTTCTTTCTGACAGACGTGTGAACACAATTGTTAATCATCTTTTAGTATGAAAGATCCATGCGAGTGTTGACATTAGCATTTTGTGAAGTCCTTTATCTAATCTTCAAAAGAAGTAAAATAACCATAAAGCTACCCACCGAGTTTGACTCATTAACCAAAACATAGCGAGTTTAAAAGATTTCCGAAAAAAAACTTACCTCCATTGGCTTGGTTTTCGCTTTTACTTCTTTGAAGATTTCAGCTTGGTTTGAGAGAACGTAGTCCTCGAAGCAGTTCTGAAAGGTCTTTCCTGACAATCGTCCCTCTCCGAATACAACTCCATAGTATGAGTTATGATCGATGATTTTATTTACTCGTAGCTCTTCGCTAGATAATTCTTTCATTTCTCCAGCGACATAAGTGTCCACTAGAACACCTTTGAATTGTCTGTCTTTCAGTGGGCCCACAATAGACACCAAGTCATTGTATGCTGCGTGAAAAAAAATTAGTTCAATGAAAGATATGTTATTCATCGTAGTTTGACTTTTATTGCTACGGCCCTGTTTACAAGGAGAAAACTTGTCCCGCGGGTAAACGGGTCCCTCGCTTACCCGAGCCACAGTGGAAGAGCCAACCTTTTCGTAAATTTCCTTACAAAACGTGGCGGCCGTGTACATGAGAAACAAAAAGTTGGATCTGCTAGAAGGGTGATTTTCCCAGGAGGGTCACTTGCTATTGATGACACATAGGCTCGCCCAGCCGGGTAAACTCGGTCAAGGCGAGACAATCAGAGCATGCGCAAGGGCTGTTGTCAGCTCTTGGATCGGTCAAAGGGGCCACTTTTTTCTCATAAAAACGCTCGCTAAAGTTGGCTTGGTTAGGAGGGTGAACCTCTTTCCCCGACAACTTTTCTCCTATATACGGGGCCTTAATAAGGCAATGGTGTCGGCTGGCTAGGCAGGATTAATAGCGACACCATCAAAGCTGTTGCCGGACGAAAATTCTCATCAAGGAAACTGAATGTTGTATGAAAAAAGTTTATGATATGACATCCTGCCTATTTTTTTCAAAATTTTTGTTGTCTACTGAAGTCCATCTAACTGCTTCACACTAGCTACTTGTAGGTCCTTGGATATCTGTGGCTATTAGTGATTGGTGAATTTGGATCCTCGCTCTCATGCGGCAACATGCAGGTAGTTTTTTTTTTCAGTGGTCGACTGTGTTAAGGATAGGCGCGTGTGCTATTCAACGCAAACAAGCGGACGTGTTGCTAGGATATGTATTAGGGACATGTACCCCGCCTTTGCTGATGTTACCCAGGTGAATGACGTTAAGGAAGAGCCTCGTCTCCAGGCCAGTTCGCACTATCCGAGTGAGCAGAGGAGGCTTGGAACCGAGGGCGATTCGTTTACCAGGGTGACGTCACAGCCGAAATCGCCGAGGACGATGGGAATGAGGCTGGTTAAGGAATACTAAAATATTAAACCTAATAAAACCGTGTTCGCCGTCAAATTGATCAGTGCGAACGAGTGGTCACCTAGGTTGACAGAAATCAAGAAATTTGTCGTGGTGATTGTCATTATTCTTTCGCAAGCGCTCTTCAAACATAACCAAACGTGTTTTGACACTTACCTTGCATTTTCGCGTTCTTGTTGAGTCCTAATCTGTACTCGGTGGAATTTGCAACTGCTGCAATCTAAAGGAAACAAATAAAAGTTGGTTAAGCCTATGACGGTCGGTCTGACTGAACTATTATTTCAGGGTTTTCTTTGCTTCCAATGTGTTTTTAGGGTTTTAAAGTAATACCTCCAAGCGTCGGAAGGCTCTCGCACGGTGTGCTATCTGGAGCCTAGACAAGATCTGCTATTCGCAGACAGTACCTTTGGACCTGAAACTGCGCCTCTTTAGAACAATATGTCTTTCCGTTCTACTGAATCACTTCGAAACGTAGGTAGATAATCACCAAAGACATGGGTGTGGAACGGAAAGCTTTTGCCACCTCATGTTAAAGGAACATTTTGAACATCAAAAGTTTGACAAAGTCATAAGTGACTGAATCTACGAACCCACTGGCACTAGCACTTTGCTATCGACGGTCATCTCACGTCAGCTCAAGTTCCTTGGCCACAGGACGAACCCGCTAAGATCTACGCGTTGTATGAGCTCTCCCACGGGAGAAGATCCCCTGGGAGATCGCTTTTCCCACCGAGTCCAGGAATGGATAGACCCCAAAAAGCATTTCTTAGAGGATGACATCGTGCGCATTGCCTAAGACCGAGCAAGTAGGAGACGAGTTACGATCGACTGCTCTTCGGTCGACCGATAATGATGATGATGAATGTAATACGAAAAAATCATGCCATAGCTCATTTAAACTTACCTTAGTGCCGTAAAGCTTCACATCAGTACTCAGCGTTATGGCCGTGAGAGACGTGGTAACGACACCCGTAAATATCGACGTGATAACGAGGCCAACTAGTACCCAGATTATTGCAAAAATACGCGCCACGAATCCTCGAGGAGAACGATCACCGTAGCTGTAAAGGGCAGAGGAATAGATGAGTTTCTATCTATATACATTCAATTAAGCGTTTTCACTCAAATTTAGCTTCACTCTACGACACTCCATCATCCAGTCCAGTGCCGGTAGGTTGGCGTTCTATCTACGGAGGACTCACTTGATCTTTCAAATCAAATCAAATCAAATATTGATTATGTGAGAATACCTAAAAGGGAACGTCAGAGGTTATCCCTATCGAGGACGCTCCCTATGTTTAAGAAACGTAACTTAATCATGTACGATTTCCGGTAGTGTACTATCATGGATTTGCTTTATATTACAAAAACCTCAGTGCCGTGGTTGGTAAGGGTTTTAAGGGTTAGGTCGTTATCGTGTAGACCTCTTTGTGCCGGCACACGCTTCAGACACACAAAAACCTTTTTTATTCTTCGTTCAGTGACTGTTTGTACTCACCCAACTGTTGTCATGGTAACAAATGCCCACCAAAAACCTTCTCCACTCCCCTTAATGAACGACCTGGGAAATTCGTCAGGATTGTACCACGTGTCCTAAAACATAACGCATTATGGTGATTTTACATCACTTTACCCGTACTAGAGCCACAGTTTTGTTGCTTGATCTTTATTGGGTGTCTCCGTAACGAAGCGATCTATTGAAACTTGATAATTACGAAGAAACTTAAAAGGATTAAAGAGTTTTTGTAATGAGAAGTTATCCGTTCCTGATATGAACTGCGCGTCCAGTTTAAAAACGTGCGACTCGTTTTGCAACACTGCTGCAGAACAAGTTGAAAAGCGATGTTGCGCGTTTTATCACCCATGTTCAAACAGGAAGAGTTTTAAGAAATTGAATATCTGCAATGACTTGTTTTCAGATGGGCAAATCTTCGAAATGCTGCAGACATCAAGAAGGCCAAGTTGGACAAAGCTCTCAGACTCCAGCAATTCCATGCTGACATTACCCAAGGTTTGTGACATTAGCTTTTAACCCTTTAAACCCTAAGATCAAAATTGGAATTCTCATTTGTTACCCCTATTCATTTCCTACAGAAGTAGTGGGGAGAAGTTGATAAAATATCAAGCACATTCATCTTGTGTGATCATGTTCGTAATTCTCATGACCACTCTGTTTTACAAAGCATTGATATTACAAGGAGAAATTTGATGATGTTCACTCTTAGGGATTAAAGGCTTAACAACCTGATTTGTTGTAAGACAGGTTTGATATGTGTGGTAAGACGCGCAACATCGTTATTCAATTCGTTTTGCATCATTGTTGCGTGACAAGTTGCGAGTTTTTTGTTGCCCGTTTTCCCGTAGCTTTAGTTTGACCCGCTGAAAATCCACCTCTCTTACTAGTTACTCAGCCAGCGGGGATTTTCGGGAAAGGACCTTCGAAGGCCTCTGCTGGCCGAGAGCTACAGGAAACTACAAACATTAATCACAAAGGACTGCAAAGGACCGCAAACGAAATATGCCGGAAAACAGATCAGAAAAACTAGTATCAGAGGGATACTGTGCAGTCCGGAGGGATTGTAGCCATAGACCTGTTCCAGTCTCCAAGATAATGATGTACAGTCGTTTTGAGTAAAGAGTGATGCAAAAGACGCGCAGAATTTAATATGGATGGGAGAGGGATACTGTGCAGTCCCCAGGGAGAGCCTGTTCCAGTCTCCAAGATAATGATGTACAGTCGTGCAGTAGAAAGTGATGCAAAAAACGCGCGAGGGATGGGGAGAGATAGAACAGTCCCTTCCCCAGATCGCTCGCGTCATATTTGCGCTTGGATTGTTTTATTCTCGCCACGTCCCTACTATCTGATAGCCTGACACAGGCTACCCAAGGAATTCTCGTTCACTACTTACCAGTCCCCACATGATGATACCGGACAGTAACGCCATCAGTAATGTAAGTACCAACACAGGCCATCCAGATAGAACAGAGTTGAACACAGCGTTCGCTGAGGTGCCGGGTGGGTCATCAACAACAATGAATGCGACGCCGGGAGATCCTATCAGAGGCATGAACTTGTAGGAAGTCTGATAGTAGCGATCGGCTTTTTTCCCACTGATTGGAAACGTGATGGTGTCAGGTTGATCCAGGTTTTGACTGGCTTTGATGTCAACCTGTTTTAAACGTAACAGGAGAAAATGTCTAAGAGTACGAACAAGAGAGGAATGCCGGCCATGTACAGTTTGGTAAGAGTGTGATAAAACGACACAATAACAAGCTAGTAAAAAAGGAATGCAGATTTCTTCCAATTAGAAGTTAAACCTAGAGGCTCTTTACATGGAAGGAAGGGAGATCCTAGCACCAGGAGGATCCTAGAACGCGGATCATCCTAGCGCTTTTGTCTTTTTTTAATATACATACAAGCAATACATGCAAGGGTTGTAATTGTCCCTAGCACTACTCCTCCTAGCACTACTCCCTCTGCCTACCCCTCCCCCGATCTTCCTAGCGAAGGCAGAGAGCTAGGAAGATCCTAGCACCATGCAAACTGTTTTCGCTTGGAAGATCGGGGGAGGGGTAGGCGGAGGGAGTAGTGCTAGAAACGCATAACGATCCGGAAGTTATCATCAGGTCTGTTTTAGAGTATGCGAGTCCCGCTTGGGCTGGCCTCACGCAATACTTAAGTGGTCAAATTGAATCAATACAAAAGAGGGCGCTAAAAATATTTTTCCTTCTCTGTGCTATGAGGACGCGCTCAACAAATCAGGCTTAATTTTGCTGCGCCAGAGGAGGGAGGATGCGTGCATAACATTTCTCAAGCGAAGTTACTCTTCTTCCGACCTGCTACGAAACTTAATGCCGCGAGTTGCACACACAAGACCGTACGCCCTTAGAACAGAAGAAACTGTTTCTGTGCCTGCCTCCTCAAGAACTGACAGATTTGGAAAGTTTTGCACCATCAAATACCAGAATCACGTTTAAAATAGCGAAATGTGATATGTCTTAACATTAACAGTTATATTTACGTGTCATAATCCCGAAGTATTTGTATCTAATTAATGACCAGCCTAGTAATTCAGTTTATGCTGCAAAAAGGTTGAATAAACGATCATTATCATTATCATTATTATTATTATTATTATTATTATTATTATTATTATTATTATCCTAGTACTAAGCAAAAACCAACCATCAATGGCGGCGAATAGCGCGTAAACGTTAACGTTGAGCTAGGTCCTACTTTATACATTTAAGCGCGAACTTTCATACATTGCCTCTATTTTATTTATGCATGCAAAATTTACTTGCGTACGCTTGTAAAACTACGCGACAGTGTAAATCCACCTTAGAAAAGAACTAAGAACTGCAAAGTCCTCTTTATCTGTTAAGTGTTCTTTAAAAATATCCTTACCAGTGTTTCTTGGCGCTTGGAATAAGAGATCTCAGACTCTCCGTCACCGCCTGTGCAATTTCCACAGCATTGTTTAACAATTTTCCCGAGTAAAAACGGGAACAGTCCCGAGGGATCTCTCCCGGAATGGTGCTCTACGTAGGGTGGGATATTGTACCAGTTGGCGTGAATTATTTTTGGACACTTGCACTTTTCTGAAAGCCAAACAAAGTTACACAATTAGCTTTCAGCATGACATTTTAGCGCACACACACCTAACTTATTTAAGCGTCAGTGCCGTTGAGCACGTAAGAATTAATTATTTATTTGACGTCTCTTATTACTGATGAGACCAGTCGCCGCATGTAAGGGAATTCGAATTTCGGAATCCCGGAATATTTTGCTTATGGAATCCGGAATCCTGGGCTTTGTAATCCGGAAAACAGCTCAAGGAATCTGGGATCCCACAAACGATTGGAATCCAGAATCCAAGTTCCACTGACAAAGACTGGAATCCGGTAAATTAAGCACTGAAGTACACGTACCAACTCCGCGGTCAGCGGTATGGCCAGTACCTTACGCATGCGCACAACCATATCCCCCCGGCAGTGGTAGCTATCAATCAGCTGTTTCGCCCCTATTGGGGCTCGTCAGCATGGCATAGCCGTCGGGTAAATAAGCGGGGAAACCCGCGTATCAAAGACCCTTTACTGTACTGGAATCCGGCACCTGGAATCAGGAATCCACGGCGTGGAAAACGCGAATTCGGGACTGTCTTGGAAATTCCCTTACGTGGGATGAGACCTCCATTTCTACATGATCATTTGAGCTACGAAAAGGTCTGTCCGTTTGAGTAATAAGTAAAGGCAGTTATTACTGAGTTTGGCACAGAATTTACCTAAAACATCAATATCCTCGTGGCAAGGCCCCTTTAGACTAGAATTGCCAGCCGCTGCGCAGCGGTTAGTCTCCCTCGCAGCCGTTTTTAGTATCGTCACGCAACGCGTGACGATACTAAAAACGGCTGCGAGGGAGACTGCGCAGCGGTGAGATGGAAATTGCCAACGGGTTCGAATCCTGGAGTCGTCGTCACACGTGGGTTGAGATTCCTGTTGGTTATCTCCCTTGCTCTGGGAGGTTTTTCTCAGGCTTTTCCGGATTTCCACTCTCATTAGAAGCAACACTACAGAATTCCAGTTCATTTTGCAGCAGACGTAGGAACAACCGTAGCTTAAAAGCCCTTTTCTAGATTTCTCCAAGCAAACAAAGACACTAAAAATTGGTTTTTCCGTCCCGCCCTTGATGTTGGCCACAAGCACTTGCCGCGACTGCTTTGAATTTAACCTGTCGTCTTTCCTCAGCTCCTATAGTTTATCAGCACTGGAAAAAAATTAAGGCCAGACGTAGAACTTTCATGAGACGAACCAAATTGTAATTATATTTGGGTCAACCTAAATTAATTGAAATTCGTCTTTTGGGTCAGACCAGTCATACTTCATCATTTGAAGCAGACGGGGTCAGAAGTCGAAATTTTTATGAACTTAATCCGCCCAGTTTGGTTCGTCCCATGAAAAGTTCGACGTTTGGCACTGGCCTAAGAAGAGCCCCGGCGTTCAACGTCCTTTGCCGCCTACCTTTAACGCGCAAATACATCGTATCCTCATCCTTTCCCTGCGAGTTGTTTGCGGAACACTTGTAGTATCCTGTATCACTTCTCTTCAGTGATTGTATCTCTAGCGTTCCATTGCGATAGTTGATCATACGCCTCTCTTTGGTGTCGAGTGTTCCGTTGGTATTTGAAGAGTTTGCCCCCAAGTATTCCCATTTCACCTCTGCCTCAGGGTACGCCTCGATTTCACACCAGAGGCGCAATTTGTCTTTTTCTGTTGCTTCCTTTTTGGTCGAGCAGTTTATATTGGTGCTGTTTTCACAGAAAGACTTTATTACTGGTTTTTCTGTAACGGATAATGACAAGACAAAAAGCAGTATGATTTGTTTTATGAATTCAATGATGAACATCAAAGGGAAGAGAACTTGCAAAAGTGAATGAATGAATGAATGAATGACTAGTTGATTGACTTACTGGCTGACTGACTGGCTATTGAGAGACAGACAGACTAACTGACTTATATATAGCGTAGGAGGAAGGAATGGATGGATGGATGGATGGATGGATGGATGGATACGGCATGGATGACTTCCGACAACTTCCGAGGACTTCCGACGCGCAAGAGACGGAATATTCCGATGTATTCGAAAGATTTCCTCCTCTTGAGTGCACTGAAGTCACAAAAGTAGTCTCAACCTTTTTAAAACGCCTATGGTTAATCTAGCCCGTAATGTTAAGACGGCCGAGCGCGTGTTACTACGAAGATCTGGGTAGTGCTTCTGACTGGCCATGTCTTGCTTCAGCCAATCTGAAACACGACACAGATCTGGTAAGTGACACGTCATCAGTATGGAAATCATGCAGTCGTTCCTCTGACGTCATTTCGTGGGAAAACCAGTGGTGAAGTAGCGAAAAGTACGCTTTTTTCTCAGGCTTGCGTAAAAAGGGCTATAGAGAGAAGGAGTGCTCACTTTTGTCCAGGATTATCTTGTACGTTGCGTTAAATCCTCTTCCCGTGACTGAATCGTCAGATTTGAACGCTATACGCATGTTATTGCAACGTGAAATGACAGTAAACCTCGTCAAATTACGACAGTAGCCATCGATAAAGTCTCCATTGCCAATATCATCTTCGGGCTGCAGATTATCCGACCAAACTTTTGACCCGTTACACTTGTCTGACAACTTGACTACATCATACGGTGCACAAGTCTTACTCGTCTCGAGATCAAAGTCGTGGAAGGTGACGCTTATCCTGGCGTTGAACGCTCCGTATATCACCCAGCTATGAAAGGAAGGAAAAGGCAGAGAGAATTGGTGTTATCAATGACTATGAAAAGCATAGGATATCGTAAAAATGATTGTAGTAATAGGCCAAGCTCGATATATCAAAATTCTGACATTGGGGGTTGAGGTTTAACGGACAAAATTGCAACATTTTAACGACTTTATTGTTTTGCAAATCCCGGAAGAGACTTTGAGAAAACCAAACCAAGTAGAGAAATATGACAGAAAACCTCGGAGTTATGTCGGAATTTTAATATATCGAACGTGGGCTATTGCAAGATGTGAAAGAGAACGGCATTTAGTTATCAGCCACAAAGTTGCTACTAAAGGGCAAAAAACAGAAATAGAAAAAGAATGTATTCATTTGAAACCATGGACGACTTTTGAGTGTGTTTGAATGCTAAGGATTTGTGGCATTAGCCAAAGCATTAACCATCGAATGTACACTTTCAGACGACCATGGACGTAGCCTGTGCTAGGCTCTTACCTATAGGAGGGAAGTCGCGAAAATACACCGCGCGCGATCTGGGGAAGGGGATGATGGCGGGAAAATATAGGAGAGAGCCGCCCTCTCTCTCCCCAGCCCCCACACCTAGGGCTTTGTCACAGTCACGAGTAGTCCCTCCTCCACGAACAGGATGGGTAGGAACGCGTGTCGAAGCCCTAGGAACGTCTGCATGGGAGACCAAGGCGTCTGTAGTATGTGGTATCTCTGTCCGCTACAGAGAGGTGCCCATTTTATAGTGGTTTCTGCGAGGAGACGTTCAAAGTTTGCCTGTGAGATTGGGTCGTTTTTGTGTCGATTTGCCCCATCATGGGACTGTTTTGGTAAACCAATTTTGACCCAGTTTCCTTCGTAACTTCGCAATAGATCCAGCTAGTCTCACGCGCAAACAAAAACTAACAATATTGAGGGTTCACAATATGTTTTTCGGGATCTCTTATTTGAAGCTCGGGATCCGGGATTTCCCTTACTTGAAGTTCGGGATTCGGGATTTCCCTTATTTGAAGCTCGGTATTCGGGATTACCCTTATTTGAAGTTCGGGATTCGGGATTTTCCTTACATGAAACTCGGGATTCGAGATTTCCCTTATTTGAGGCTCGGATCCAGGATTTTATAGCAAAATGAGGGCGAGATTTGGGATTGAAAGTATGCACGGAGGGTGGAGGTGGATCCATCACAGGGTGTTAGCTTCAGTTGGCAAGGGACCGATTTAAATTGTTCATTCTCCTCGCAGACTATGCGATTACGATAGATTTTCGACTCAAATTGACTCAAATCAAGTGTCTCAGGAGCTTTTAGCGGAGCGTCCGCATGCGCAGTAGATTCTCATACCTAGAAAAAATGGAAACCTATCGATGCCAGAAAATTTGGTTATGAGGTCAGCGTACGCCCGTCCGTACTCTCTCTGGGGGTAGGGGTGTAAAAAAAACTCAGTAGGGTAAGGAAGGGAGTCCCAGACATTCGTTTCACGTGAGACTGGGTGGACTCTGTCGAATTGCACCATGGTACTTTTTTGAGGATACTGTCTCATTTGTATTGGCGATTACGACGTTGCCAGGGAAACTGCGTCAAAATTCAACTTCAAAAAAGTCCCATAGTGCAATTCGGTACAACACTGACGCAGTCTCACGCGAAGCCTCTAAATGGCCAATATTCATAACAGCTTAGCATACCTGCACGACGTGTCATTAGGATAACCTTGATACCCTCCCGGACTTGTAAAATTGCCTTTGTCTCCTGACAGTGTAACATATTGTGTGCAGTCTATAAATATAACACGATAACCAACTCAGTTCATAAGAGACCAAGACGCACGGACTGAAAAAAGTTCTTCTTGTGTATGCACCAAGCTTAAAATTAACTATTACTCTTCTTACATTGCTCGTGAGCATGAATGTGCACTGACAACAACTTATTGACAACCAGGACCTATACTGGAGCGTCCTAAGAGCCAGTGAAACAATTCATGCGAGAAGATAAGCTGGCCATTGTGCTCGTCACAATGAAGAGACGGCTTCAAAAGTGTTGCTTTGGGAACAAGGTTTGAGCCAGAAGGGAGTCCCAGGGGCACCCAACGAGGATATAGTTCAAAACCACTTAACATAGCATTGTTGAACGTATTTTAGTATTCAAACGGTAGATATAGGCATATTTTTATCCCCTAAAAACTTTTCATCTGTTCGGATTTCCTAGCTGAAAATCTAGTGATCCGAAAATTATAGGGATTAAAACTTACCTCCTCGAAAATTTCAGTCAGGAAAAGGCTCCCGAAAATTCTAGGTGGCCTTTTTTAGGCTCAAAATCCGTTAAAAATGGGTAATTATACCATTTTGTAGGTGTTCGAAAATCCTAGGAGAGGCAGGCAAGCAAGAAATTTTACAACAAATGCTCCGAAAATTCTAGATCTCAAATCGTCTTCCGAACAGATATTTTTCCGAAAATTGCCGTTGGGTGCCCCTGGGGTGTCCAGCCGTCCTATGGACGCCCATTTTTGGAAGAAATACAAGAAAAATTCATTTAATCTCTTATCATGCTAAGGGAAAACATTCCTTCTGGACGGCTGTTTTCAATGTCTGGCTAAAAGCCGTTTGGGCACCTCAACATGGTCACCCAAATCGAGGTAGACCAAGAACTACATACATCGACACCATGAGGGCTGACTCCGGACTGGACAATACAAAAGAAACAAGAGATGCCATGCTTGATCAGGTTGTGAGGAACGATTTTGTCAGGATGGCTCAGGATGATTCCCGGCCTGAAAAAGCGCATAAGCATATATCGACATTCCAGTCTTAGCGATATGCAGGATGTTTGTCGCACAAACCTGGTTTCGTGTCCTTTTATAACTCGCAGAAGTCCTACATTCTCAATTACTTCTCACTTAGGGCAAAATGTTGGCTTAGGGGAGGGGTAGGTGGGCAGTTTCCCAGGAACCTAAATTGATCCGAATATGTTATTATCTACTTTTTGACATGCAAATACATCATACTCAGCTTTTAAATTTTTCTGGATTTGAAACCGTTTAAAAATTTATATCTACAAGTTTTAAAAAAGAATTACCTAGATAATCCCTTATTTTACCTCAGACGGGCAAACAAGGTGATATTCAAGCCTCTAAAATCCATTAAAGTTGATAACAACGCTTCAAAACAGTTCAATCATAGCTTTTCAAGACCTAGTCGCACTCAGTATCGGTAATTTTAAAAAATAAAGGAAACTAACCGTCGAAAAAACTATGAATTTCTAATAAAGCTTTGCCAACGCACTTATTATGAGATTTTTTTTTGTTCCATGTAGCTGGCAACAGCAAGAGAGGTACACCCTGTAACTTCCTGTTATCCTTCCATTCTTGAAAACAGCTATTGAAATCTGCTCGAGCTTTAAAACAGGCCACTGGTTAGGGTGCATTATTAAAGATATCTTTTTTAAAAAAAGTTTAAAGATTCTTACATTATTCCACTCTTACGACTTAGGAAAATTTCTTGTTGACATTAACCACAGTTCTAAGCTGCTGTTAATATATGGTTATTTTAGCAAAATAATAGCAGTGGGCTTTTAGAGACGTCGATTTGTTATTTTGAGTTCGAGGATCGGAGGAAACCCCTATGACCTATTGAGAACTTTTGTACTATGTAGTTTCAGCTGTACTTTGCTACACTAAAGTTTCTATCCAAAAGAGTCACTTTGAGCTAAAAAGTTTGACCCTTCAAGAGAAGCTGATGATGGACAAAATGAGTCCCTGTGGTTTGTTTTTTCTGATAATGATGTTTCTGACTAAAATTATATTGAAAGTACGACCATCTAAAAAACAGTGAATTACAGATTGTCCTAGCCTGCGATAAGGCGTTTTTTTTCGAAGGACCGTCTGATCGAAGGTTAGGATTGTCCAAACCGTCGGAAGAAAAGGAAATTCGTTCGGGTTATTAGGAGGTTAAAAAAATGAGAGTAAACTTGCACAGCTTGATCGAGGAAAAGAGTCAAATTTTGTTCCAATTATCGCGAGGTTCGAAAATCAAACTGAATAGATCTTTCCCAGGGTACTACTACTGACATCACATTTTGTTAAATCGTTCAACTAAAAGTCGCTGAATTGACTTTTACAGCAGGTTCCGACTTACTGTGGGGTAAAGCGAATACTAGAAAACGCTTTTTGACGTAGTAGGCAACCCGCACTGACATCTGTCAATCCCCACGTCGCAATTACGCGGGGCAAGGATGATTAAGGGAAAGTTCTAGTTTCGATCTAGTTAGAACAAGACAAACTTCTTTCAATCATTTCTTTGGCACCGAAAAAGAGAAAAATACGGCCGATATCCGTTTATGTTGTGACACTGAGTCCCAAGATAACATCTAGGAATCATTAGACCGCTTTTTAAGGGATTATTTCTTCGCGTGTCGAGTTAAAATGAGGAGATATTCACGACAATACTGAGGAACCACTTCTGGCGTATATTGGACTCTCTCACCTGTTCTTAATATCGACCAATCAGAGGCTTTTCACCAATTAAAATTGTTACTAGTAACGGCATTTTCAATGGCTTGTTGTTCCTAACAGGAACGATATTTCATAAACGTTTCCCCTGTTTTAATAATCATCTCGGATATTTTTCACAAGCTTTCTCGGTCCTCTGTTTCAGAAGGTCACCTCTAAAATAGAAAACCTATTGTAATCTACGCTTTGTTTGTTTCAAGTTAATTTAAAGTCAGTATATATAAAATTCCCGTTTCACTCCATTACAAACCCAAATTAATATTACATGTTGCTTAAAACGTGAAATTTATGCTATCCACTTTTCGGGGGTAACTCTCCGTATCATTGACAGAATAGATATTTTTCTCGAGTATTTGCTGTCTTGTTCCTGTAATTATATCGATCAGTGAGTTTATGTGCATCTGACAGCAAAAACTGGTATTAATTAACACACTTTGCATAGAATATTCCGGAAAGTAATAAATACTTTCCTCTTCAAAGGAATTCTTTATCTTAAAAAAAATACGTGAACGAAAAGGCTATAACTCTCGGAGAAGTAGGTGATATAGCCTGTATATTCTCATTAATAAAACGTAGGTCTGTAACATAACGTTAAGGCAGAAAAAAATCATGGCTTTCCGATTATGTACGTTACATGAATGCGCTATTCTGCTCGCATTTGTAACCATAGTACGTAAACCAGTTAACTGAAGGCATCAGTAAGAAACTTAATTTCAGGGTAAACGGTGTATTTGAATGAAGTATTTCGAGCAATTATTTCCAAAAGTAGAAACAAAACGAGAAACGAAATTAGATGGAAATACTTGCAGGTGTAATCTCTTTTCACTCCCGTATAATAACAAACTCAAATACGTAGGGAAAAAGGATTTTAAAACGTTACTTTTTGATGTCTGGATGTACTCCGCTTCTGTCCTTAAACAAATCACCAGCAACAGTTTCGAGAACTGCAAAAAGAACAGAGAAAGTTTAGTTAGTTAGCTAGCTTAGCAGCGGTTATTCGCCAACTCGCTGATAGCTTTATTAATGAAGGCGCTCAAAACATGCAACGTACCAAGAGAATTTTAAGAACGCCGAAGCTGCTTCTACATCGCATGATCGGTTCTTGATGAAAAATGTTTAGATTTTGAAAAGAGGAATTCTCTTGCTTAATGCAATATATCCAGGTTAGAGAAACCCCTTATGTTGCTCAACACGATTCGTACTTCGCTCTCGAGCCATGAAAATGCAAATTTACGAGGCATGAATAATTGAAGATTTCTCGACTGGATATCCTTCTCGCCAGCCAATCACAACCAAGCAGCAAGTAAAACGTTGTCGAGTTTGTTCGAATTTGAATAGATCGTTGTCAAGGAAAAAAAAAATTGTGGTTTCGCGCGTGTGAGGGAAGTCAGGAAAGCATTTCCTAAACTAAGGTTGTTTAACTCTCCGATCATACCAGGCGAAGCTCTATTATATTTCAAAGGAAGGCCATAAAAAATAAATAAATAAAAATGATAGTAGAACTGAAGTTCACGTATATATAATAAACATGCAAGTATATAAACACATCAGAAATACATGTAAGAGCGTTTCGAGCCACAGTTGACCTGACTGTGGGGCCCTAAACTGACGAGATCATGACTGTATTGAACGAGTTCGATAACCTTAAAATCCCTAAAGGCCCGATTGCCGTTATGAAAAATAGAATTGGGTTATAAGCTATTGGAATATAACGCTTCCACTATATTTTCATTTATTTTGTTATTATAAGTTCTTATTGTTAAACGGAACCCTGAAAGTACAACTGCAACAAGAATTAGAATCCTCACAAACTTCTGAATGGACAAAGACTTCCACGGATCGGCCTTAATTTCGTTACCACGGGACCCGAGGAACCGTGCAAAAGTTTAAATTTTTCAAGTTGTGTAATTCAATCGCGAAAAAATTGCTAAAAATAGAAGTTTTTAGTGCTATCTCTTGTTTGATTCATTTTTCTTTTATACGGCTCTTTCAAGCACAAAATACTTGCTGATATTTTTTTCATATTTATGACACGAATACCGTGACGCTATTTAAGCCACATAATCGAAAACCTCAATTGGGGCATGATGTGACTGTGGCTGATTTGATACTTTAAAACAAGCCTAAGTATCAGGCGTTCCAGGGCCAAGGTAACCTTCCACGCAGGCGTTTTTAGGTGAGCTCGTTTTTCGTCCCTCCCGAAATACACACGGCAACGACTTTCTAGTTTACTTTTCCTGAAATTCAATAAAATAAAGAAAATAAATGTCAAATTTCACAAGAATGGTGATAATACAGGTAAAATTCTATAACATTTCATGTGTAAGATGATATTTGGTGAAATTTGACATTCATTTTCTCGGGCTCCCATGAGAAATTTTTTGTGGAGTTACTACAGATGATTTATTACATCTTTAGCCCTTGAAAAATGTAAGAAAGAATGCAATATGCTTTAAATTATTCTGGTACAAGATTTTTGTCCACTGAAAATCAAAATTACTCAATGTCCTGGTGGATTCCGTCTTAAGCTTCTTAAACGTTGATGAGAAATGAAGGCGACTTCTTAAACGAACAAAAGGAATATTCTTTGTTAAATAGAGGGAAGGTCGTGTCAAACAAAAGCTGTTGCATTTAGCTCATAATTAATCGAAAATTACCATTTTCTTCATAAATAGTTTAAACAGATGACGCGCATGTAAATAGCTTTAATTCAGTTACTAATTAGAGTAAAACAAAAATATCCTGACTCCAGCTCAAGTAACTGAACGTTCAAACGTAAACGTTCAGCTTTTTTGTTCGGATGGAAGCAATAGCTCATCATCTCTACGGTAAAAAATTTTAAAATTGTTCTATAATATTTCGCACTTGTTAGTGACGATACCCCTGAGCTTATTATTTTCGAAGTGAAGAAAATAATGACTGCAAATGGCTGACAGAAAATCATTCCAGTTTTGAGTTTTGAGCTCACCGGGAAACCTGGTTTACGGGAATCACCCAGATCACTCTTCAATAGTTTTGTTGCATCTTGCACTCGTCTAGACACTAGTGCACGACTGTAATCTAGTTCGTTTGTTTTGGATTTTTTTTAAAACAAACGCAAAATTAAACAAAAAGCGTTCTTAAAGACTTTTGGTTTGGAGCCTCGATATAATAAACATCGATATAACGGAGTCCTCGGTATAAAGAAAGATTTTCTTTACTCTGGCAATGGTAAAATATATGAAAAAGAACCTCGACCTAACGAAACCTCTTTACAGCGAACAAATTTTCCCAATCCCTTGGCCCTTTGTTATAAAGAGATTCCACTAAATTGAAGTTCGTTTCATGGTGCACGTGCTGAAATCATCATGCAAGTGGTTTACGAAAAGCCAGGAAATGACGCTCTGTTGACAACGTTGGTTTTTGGACAATCCGGCTAATGATGGAAACTTCTTATGTTTTATGCCTTACCTTTTATTTGAAACGTAACAATCCGGCCAAATTACTTCTTTGTCTCCACCTCAGAATAAGTCACAAGGCCGTTTATCGAAACGAAGTCTAAGACCAACGCCAAACGTCGAACTTTTCCTAAAACGAACCAAACGCTGATTTGGGTAGACCTAACTTAAGTTAAAATCGTCTGTTGGGTCAGTCGACGAAATAGGGACGCGTCGAACCAATCAACTGAACCAGACCAAAAGCAATTTTAGCGGGTCAGTAATAAATTTTCTGTCCAAAGAGGCTAAAATATCATACAGATGTTAAGTTATTTGTTTAGCTCGTCGCATGTGAAGATCGATGTTTGTCCCGGAGACGATTGTCTGACGTTCTATCCGTCTGAAGAAGACGGATAGAACGTGTTAGACGATCCAAACTCATTCAGACGAACTTAACTGGGCCAGATTACGAACTTTCCTGAACTTAACTCACTAAGTTTGGTTCGTCTCATGAAAAGTTCGACGTTTGGACGGGCCTTACTTCGACTATAGTTTAAATGCCTTTAAAGTCTTCATAGATACTAGTGGAAAAGTTATCTTTTGTTCTATCATTTGTGTCAAGATGAACAGTACTTAGATATACAGAGTTTGCCAAATTGAAAATGTCCCATTGAACGCAATTTTGTTTGAGCAACGCATAAACTCCTTTCTCCTTATACTAAGAGTTGGAAGCACGCGTGTCAACGTTACGTTTTTGTTTAACTACAAACAATACAACAATGAATATACCCTCTGAGCAAAGTGGGAGGGAAATTTCGAACAAAAACGACCACCATTTCTCTTTGCAAACAATTGTCTTGGTGAGGCCAAATATTTAGTACAGCTGCGCTAATAAGATATTGTCATTTTAGTAAACATACTTAGCTCAATTAGCACGTCTATTAATGCGCTAAGGTGATAAGTGGACGATAATTTCTGTATTATAGGGTTGATGTTTCTCAAGGGAGTGTACTAACGTAATTATCAACAATGGAGCATGTGGGGTGGAAAGTTTAGTGAAGAGTGATTTACCAAGCAAAGAATTAAAGCGGCATTTTCTATCAGTCGGCGAACGCGATGGAACGAAAACCGAAAAGCGATTCTTATCGGAGGGCGGTGCAAGCGGCACAGAACATTATCAAAAGTCGAACCGGCAACGCCATAATAAGGCAAGCGTACGGAGCAGCCGACAGGCAAGCGGAGAAGAAAGCAAGGCTTATCGAACATAAAAAGGGCAAGGAACTTAGAAAGCTAGCGCTCGAGAAAGTCCAGTTTATTTACGAACAAGATGAAAAGTTAAAGAGGAAAGAGCCAGAGAAAACTCGAGCAAAAAACAGCGATGGTATTCAAACTATTCTGGAAATTCGAATTCCAAGCGAGAAGGATTTTGCCGAGGACGAAAACTGCGAAGAGAATCTCGTAAGTCGTATATCACCAAGAACTGTGAGAAGCTCGCCAAGGAAAGAACAATGCAGAACAGTTGGTAGCTGGAAGCAGAAGGAAAGCCAGCCCGGAGAAATCTTTCCCACGCAGATTGAAGAGTATGAACTTGAGTACGAGGAAAATGGTGAAATCATTTTACCAGCCAGAACAATTCGTGAATTTAACGAAGAAGCAAGAAGGGGACGATTACCAGAAAACGAGATTGAGCTTCGAACAACAAACTTCTACCAAGATTACGCAGATTACGATCAAATCACTAGCTGGCTTAATGCAGTGGAGCGGCAAGACCCAGGACACTTTCAACGGACACCGAGAAGCGGTCGAAAAAAGAACAAAAAAGTCCAGGATGGCGAAGTTCAAGCACAGCTCAAAGAATACACAGGGCTAAACACTGCTAAAGCGGCTGAAGACGATAAAGGCTTTCTGAAGCTACCAAAGATTAACAGTAATGTAGAGAGCCCGATTTCTTGTCGAACAAAGTCTTTTAAGAGAGTGGAATCTTTAGACGACCCTCGATTTACTAATCTGTTGGACTCGCTTACACCGGTTAAGAATACAACACTTAAATTACCCAAGATTCCAAGGAGTGACGAGGGTAAGTCTAGAGCGTCCTAAAAGATAAGCAACACTGTTTGGGCCTCATGGTACCAGCTCGTTTCGCCCGAAGGACGATTCGCCCGTCTGCAGTCTGCTTCGACTAAAGTCGATTCGCCCGATATGAATTCGTCATCCTTTGAACTTGAATAAGCGTGAAAAATCAGTGACTGCACACAGGGAATACAAGCTGAGTTAAAACTGCATCTCTGATAAGAATGTTCACCTTGTTGTAGAACGTTGCATGTCATCGGGCGAATCGACTTAAGCCCAAGCGAAACATCGTCGGGAGAATCGACTTGCGGGCGAAACTACAGCAATTTGAGAGTCATAGCAAACCTGGCAAACAAAAAACTGTTCGCCGGCCTCGGTGAGGTCAATTCTGCTAAATGAAACACACTCATGTAAAGTTCTGTACATAAGATTGTAAATAGATTATAACAATTAAATTGCATTTTATCTAGAACGCTGTTTGATGCAAGACTGGTTTAGTGAACTATTGATTTACCCCTGAAAGGAACAATTAGAATGAGAGAGAACTCTTGCTTTATTCTATGTAACTCGAGAATTCAATTACGGACCACGATTCACAGCGCGTGGTTTGAAAAACAGTGAGATCTATACTCTTCCGCAAAAGTCTTTGATTGACTTGTCATTTCAAAACAAAATTTTGTCGTGAATTTAGATTAAGGATTCTCATGGAAATGTACCAAATTAAAGAAACTGTATTACAGGATAATACTAATCCAAAGTACCTAGAAAAAGTCATGGGAGGGAGCCATCGGTGGGGACACCTTTACTCCAGTTTTCAGGGGATTTTTCCCGCGCGCGGCGGGACGCATGGGTGTGGTCAATTCGCATGAAAAAATGCGGGAAAAAAATGTGCGGCTAAAACGGAAACCGCGCATTTAAAGTCTACAAAAGGGAAATTGGGAACACCCGCAGAAATATGAGTTTTTATCCGCGTGAGGATGTGACAAGCAAGAATTTTACGTTGTCTTTACGACCTTTTAACTGCCTCTAGTTTTCAGTGTTGAAGATCTAAACCAAAGACATTACTTTGCCAAATCACAGTAGACACAGTTGATCACTTTGGAAACAGGCAGTATGGAAAAGTGCTTTACACGAAGCGCGCGCACCTCTGGGAACACACCACACGAACCGAGTGCACATACCCAGAACCCCTCTTTTCTTCTCGTCACGTGGTCTTTAAAAGCCGAGTGGCTCTGGTGATAAGAATGTGAGCACCGCGTCAGAGAAAATAAAAGTCAAACTCTTTTACTGTGAAATTTTTAAATAAGTTCTCTTTTATTATTACTTTCTTATATCTAAAATATCATATAAAAAATAACTACCGTGTTTACACTATCAAAGATTCTTGTTACAAATTTTTATCTTTTCTAAAGTTATCAGAAATATTTACATAGGGACAAAGGTAACAGACCTTTTTACCGATACGACCGCCATATTGAATTAATTAGATTCAAGGAGTATTATGGGATGCCCAGGGGGCATGAGCAAGATCCGAAAAAGATTGTAATGGGGAAAAAAGGTCGTTGTGCCGTGTTTGGATGTAATAATGCGCCTTTTTCCCGAAAAATATACAGTGAAGTTTTCTTTTTGCCCGAAAAGCGCGCGTAAATACTGAGCGAGTGCTCCCTGGGAATCCCATAATACTTCTTAAATGCAATAAATTCAATATGGCCGCCGTAATGGTAAAAACGTCTATCGCCTTTTCCCGAGAAATATACAGTGAAGTTCTATTTTTGCCCGAAAAGCGCGCGTAAATACTGAGCGAGTGCCCCCTGGGCATCCCATAATACTCCTTAAATGTAATAAATTCAATATGGCCGCCGTAACGGTAAAAAGATCTATTGTCACATCGTGGTAAAAATATCGATAGACTTTCCTCGAAAATACTTTTCCCAGGGCCTATGTCACGACAATATTGGATATATTCGAACCAGTTTATTTTTAAACACATTTTTACGGACCAGTTTATTTTTAGACACATTTTAGGGCACTTTTTCCCTCGAAAATGTCTATGAGCGCATTCAAAGTATAAGATATCAAAAAGGAAAACTGTAGGTTTTGCTAATAGGTTTGTGGAATTTAAAAGATGTTCAAAATTCGCGCCAAAACCGTTCTAAAAATAAACTGCTCGGTGAAAACGCCGTGACACGAGCGCATGGAAGTTGCTCGCTCCGCGTTATGGGCTCCTGATTCGGTCAGGTGTGAACACCTATCCGATATGTAACTCAGCTCCACTTAAGAGATCGGCGAGGCGCGTGCCGTTACAGAAATCGCGGCGAAATCACCGTGTGAACGGAAGCCCTATCCGGTATAATTTCGTGCCGGCGCAAGAGCTATCCTAAGTTTCATTTACATACCCTAAGTTTCTTTTACATGTAATTTTTACAAAGTTTATCACTTTGTGACAAACTTTAGAGAGATAACAACTAAAATGAACGGCTTTGAAATTGAAATTTAAACTTGGAATTATGGTCAGGATTTTTTCCCCCAGTTCTTTTACCTTAAATAATTCAAATGCTTGTGAACCATTTCTGTATTTTTTGCAAGCCGATTTAAGTCACCAACAACAGAGCATATTCCATCTCCTCCTCAGATAAACCATGGTTAAGGTATATGTTGTGGTTCAGTTTTACCCTTGCTTTAAAGTTTGTTTTTCTTTGGTTTTGGGTATGGTAATGTATGATAATGAGTTTGAAACAAAGGAAAATAAAAATTAAACCAAGGATAAAATTGAACCACGACATACATGTCGAGAAAAACCCAGACGTTTGGGGATTTCGAAGTTCCCCGTTTGTCCCGATAGCCTGACTGACGTTAATAAAAACTCTTCTAGACACCCTTCATCGTCTGAGATGGTTGGTGGGGGACGAAGCGGGAACATCGAGGGCATTTCCGATATGGTAAAACCCCGAATAATCCGCGGATGTCTATGTGTTTTTCCCGGCACATAAAAACAAGGCTCACCCCGCACAAGACATTACGGTCAATATGGTCTATTGAAGGGAACTTCCTCAAAACTTACTTTTCAATTGTTTTATCCTTCTCTCCCCACTATTCTTCCCTAACTTTAAAGGTAATGTTACACGAGACGATTCGCCACAACGATTATTAGCCCAACACAGCATTGCAATATTGTTGCGACATTGTTTGGAATAGTTACAACATTGTTCCAATACTGCCACGCTGTGTTGCGCTAAAAATCGTCGTTGCGAATCGTACCGCCTAACATCACCTTAAGAACGTCGCATTTATACTACAACAAGCTCAAAAGACTTTCCGAAGAAGGAGGAAAGACAAGGACAGAAAATTTAAGAACTGCGGGTCACGTGAATTAAAATTTCGTCAACAAGTTGCTAGGCGCCATAAAAGGTTAGGAGAGCTAAAACAGAACCTCCATTTTGAAAATAGAGTATACATACCCTGAACAAGGTAATAACCCACGTGATCGCCACGTGACGCGACTAGAGTCATTTGACACTGAGATCAACAACCGAGTTTTTTAAATTACAAAAATAACCAAAGGTTAATCTCGTGGGGGCGCCAGATGCAATCTAAATCGTTCGTCCTCAAAAATACTGCTGGAGTTCGTCAAACGGGAGCCATAGTTAAGGCTGAACGCATCGCTTGTCCTCGATAATTCTGTTAAAATGGCGAACTGCAAGGAAAAAACATAACAATGATTGAAAGAGATGCCCACTCCCAAAAGGACATTATTTCTATAATCACAAATACAAAGTCCGATCTAGCTCAATGAAAGGGAATCCAAGACAGTCTTTGGATTCTGGATTCCACACCGTGGATTCCAGATTCCAGGTACTGGATTGCGGACTTTGTCGGTGGAACATAGATTCCGGATTCCAATCGTTAGTGGGATTCTGGATTCCTAAAGCCGTGTTCCAGATTCCAAAGCCCAGGATTCCAGATTCCACAAGCAGAAATTTCCCGTTTCGCAGACAGAGTTAACCAGAGTTTAGTTTCACCTGTGGCGCAAGCTACTGAAATGCCTTTCCTTTTATACACCTGAAACTTGAAACAGAAGGAGCGCCCCCGTACCAGAAGCTTTGGGAGTACCGGGTGGAGCGGTTATTTGCTTACCCGTGAAGCACCTTTGGTTTGCGCCTTTAGCCGACTCACAGACTCAAACTGTTGCTGTGTTAACGACGGAACGGATCTTTCAGTCTGTAAAAACAAAAGACAAACTTGTAACACAAATGTAAGATACACTACCAGTAAATACAGGTAGACTGATTGTTATCCCGGTGAAACGACCGCGTTAACGGGTAGGACGATAATAGGGACCTTAAGATACATCGTTTCCGGTGCACGTACCCGTAAATACGGGTAGACTGTTTCTCATCCCAGAGAATTGGCTAGGCTACCGGGTAGGGCGATAATAGGAACCTTTTTGCGATTAAAACAACTTACTTTTTGAGTATCGTCTATCTTCTTGGGCGCCATAGAACTTTCCGGTTTCTAATGGAAGAAAAAACAATCAAACACCTTTAGATTGGAAAGTTAAGGACATCTACCAGGTTCGTATCGTGGAATTTAAAGGAGGAAATGACTGAAATTAAAGCAAGCTTCATGTTCACGCCCGCCTTCAGTGTGTTATGTCAATAACGCGCGACGAAGTCGAATCCCAACCAGTTGGAGACACTTTACCTGTGCTGTGGAGGAAGAAGGTTTGGCTAATTTTCCCAGCGACGTTTTGCCTTTCCGCGAGGAAAGGCGGGAAAGTCCTGTTTTATTACAGAGGATACAAATCCAGTTTCCTTCCGTTCCTGTAGTCCCTGCCATACATTCTGAGTGGTACACATGACCGCATCTGAAAGCCGTAAGAAATTGTTAGTTCAACGTTACTGTACAGAGACATGTCCCCTTACAGACACTAAGCACTTTTACAGGCAATATAAACCAAGGAACATGAATGTCAGATGATAAAAAAGTAAGTCCGAACGAAAAACAATAGGTATTTTTGTCTCAAAAATGTTTTTTTTAAGGCGCAAAGCGCCGGCGTGAGATTCTCACTCGAACTCCTAGTCGCAAAACTAACATTTCCTTTGCACAAGAAAAAAAGAAAGAAAAACATGAGATAAAAGAAAAGGAATTTTTAACTAAAGGTGGCTTTAGTTTCCACTGCCTCGTAATTTTTGCGCGCGTACACACGTCAAATTTACGCACCTTAAGATTCCTTTGGTTTCCATTGCTACGGTTTGTGATTGGCTGAAAAATCTCGCACCAATTTCTCAACAAATCAGGAGTCTAGTTTTGAAACTAAAACTACTGGCCTCTTATTCACACGCGTTTTTTTCCCGCGCTTGGCACCCTCCTTGTATTTTTTTTAAGATCTGATTGGTTCATTTGACGGTCTACGTATGTTCTGATTGGCTAAAAAAATACTTTGGTTTAGTTTCACTAAACTCAACTGCAAACTGCCATAAAAGGGTCATATAACAAACATCAACTATCCTTACCTAAAGACTAGTAGTTTATCCGGCTGACTGCTGACGTGGTCGTTGGTAAAAAGTCTCTGGCATATGGCACATCTGACTGTCTTGGGTGAGTATCCAATGTTCTTCTGATTTTTAAGATTACTGAGCGAGGAATGAAGGTCACTCGCTAGTAATTTGTTTGTAGTTTTTAAAAGAGTCTGGAACAAAATGAATGATATATGGAGGATGTTTCCGTACACGTGATTAACCATGATACACCTGGAATAAAATGCCACGTGATTTTTCTGACAAACTGCCAAATTCTCCTTTCAATTCGACTTAATATGCTTACCAAGCAAAAGAAAAATTTAACATTAGATCAGGGACGCCGTTTAATGAGTGTTCGCTTGTTCCACAACGAACAGGCCAATTTACAGTTGTATACTACGCAAACCTAACCTATGAGTGGAAGAGCGGCCGGCGGTGACTTTATTTCGTTAAAATAAACATTTGAAAATAAGGTACTTATCAAAATGTGGTCACCTCCAGCCTCGCTTCCATACAACGCCAGGATACTAAGCTGACGAGCTGACGTATGATGACGGGGAAATGTCGAGGTGCCTATCCTTTTACTCGCACGATTGTTTGCCAACATTTTGCAAAATGAAATGTTGTAAAATACAGGGAAATGAAAGACTTTAAAGGCTGGACTTACCGATTCATAACTGTAAGTATCTAACATTCCTAAAATAAGTTCCTTGATTTCCCCAAATTTGCCAGTGCTGTACGTTGGATCCTATAGCAACAAAATGAGCTGATAAGAAATGATATGTGTAATAGTGTTAAAACAAGAGATCATAATCGGAGAGAGAGGTAGTCACCAACTCATACCTTTGGGATATCTTACTTTCAAAAAAGTTATTTTTAGAAACTATGCGTACCATGCGGAAACAGCTTCCGGTGAACTAGTTGACTTCCGCAAGACTCACTTTCATGATTCAGTGCTTTAAAGCTTGACGGAGCCAACAAATGAAAATTATGACGCCCTGAATCATGAAAGTGAGTCTTCAGAAAGTCAGTCAGTTCACCAGAAACTGTTTCGGCATGGTCAGCACAGTTTCTAAAAATAACTTTTTTGAAATTAAGATTTCCTGGCCAACACCCTTAGACATCCACTCTGTCCAATTATGATCTCTTGATTTAAAGCACAACGCCTGTACATAAGAACTTTACTGAGCAAAGATTCTATCGGTAAACTATCACGCAAACCTGCATTATTTTTTGAAGAATAGCTGGTAACGAAATGTATCCCATCATGCTATTCAGAACGTGTCTTGTTTGATCCTTGAAGGCTGTAAGCAATCCAAAACATTTAATTTAGCTTTGAAATTCCATATTTACTTATTGCGACAAGAGGGGAAAAGAGAGCACCAAAGCAGAGTTGCTTACCTAGAAAATATGCACTTGTTGTGTCTTTGCATTTCCGTTGAGGTGCCATGACAGTTTCCAGAAGAGGAAACCACAATGCCTAGAGAGGTGAACAAATTTGTTTGCTTGTTGAAAACTGTCTTCCTTATCCTGCATTGTAAATTTTTTAGCTGACGTTGCACGCTTACAACGTGAAAGTGCCTAATTTCATGTTTTGTCGAGAACGGGAACACAAAACGACAATTTTCTTTTTCTTTTCCTGATTTTTGATACAATCCCTTAAAATTCAAACCGTCGCCGTGGTCATTGCTTAAGCTCCCTAATGTCACCTGCCCATCATCTTTGTTTCGTTTATTCGTTTTCTTTGTTAAGGAATACTGTTGAATCTGACTGCCCCTGGGTCTCTAAGGATACAGTAACCTTCATGTGACTTAAAACAAATCTTAATCGCTCCTAACGCACACTGTTAAAACTTGTTTAGTTGAAAAAATGATTTAAAAATGGCACAATACCTCTCGATCAGCTTCGTCGAGTCTTCCAGAATTTCTTTGGCACAAAGGAATTAGGACTCCTAAGAGGACAGCTTCCACGTTTGCAGTGAGCTTCCTGATTTCTGTAACGTCATCAAGATCAGAGATCACGTTGACAGAAAAAAAGCGCGGGAAAATATGTATGCAGAGCGCAAGGGAAAAAAGACGGTCATCGGTGCAAGCTGTAAAGCACGGGAAAATGTCAGGCTGGTTTCAAGTGAATTGGAGTCAAGCGTGCAAAATATGTAAGGTTGGTGAGCACCTGCACATGATTCAAGTACCAATAGCGGAAATCATAAAACCGCCACCAGCTAGGTAGTTCCAAGTGCAGAATAAAGTAAAGCCGGATCTAAGCACAGGAAAATGTCTAAAGGGTAGCAAGGGCTAGGCTTGATTTACACCGCTCCCTCGAGTAGTCGTGCCCGGTCTTGTTCCTAAAAGAGCGCGGGCTCATCTCAAGAACAGCGGCTGATAATCGAGCCTAAACAACCGCAGGAAAACACGAACCCGCAGACAAACATGGGAAAAATAAAACAGGTTTTAGGCGAGGCAGAAAATAAGACCGGCGCTGCAGAGCGCGAAGGAACAGGAAACTGGAACTATAAAATCGCGAACATTTAATGACCCCTATCTCGACAGTCTCCGCTTTAGAAAGCGTTTCCGGAGTCAGCAGAATTTTTAGTTACTTAAGTTTAATGTGAACAGTAAATAGTGTTTATAGCTCTCAGAAGTAACCAAAAGAAAAGATCACTTGTCAACATACCGTTTGAGGGTGGAAACTCGTGCTTCTCGAAAACATCACAAAGAATCTTCACTTTAACCTTCAAAGTCTGCAGATGAATGACGCAAACGTTCAAGCTTTTCATAAGTTGCAAAACTTCTCGCATGAGTCAAATACGTTTTAAGAGATATGTCAGAGCGTCAAAACACAATTATTGGTTTATGGTCAGCGAGCGGTAAACTTCGCGGGTAACATTGCTCTGTCACCCTCTGACGTCATAGATTTTTGCAAAATTGTCTGCTCAGCGACTATAGCTGTAAACAGTTTTACTGTTAGATGTCATGTGACCTCGAAATAACCAATTGGAGCACACGCTGGTAAGAAAGAATTCCGGTTGAGTTTTTGTTACCTTGCACACTGTAACAAGCAAAGATTTCTTGAAGTCATTGTGTACAAGTTGTAAGTAAACTTTGTGCTTGCCTTTAGGATTTTGGACATAATGATTACGAATGCCTTAAAAGAATTACCTCTAAAAGAAGTTGAAACGCTCCATGGATATCACCAGCTTTTTCCAGAAGATACGCTGTAGCATACGTGTTGTTAAACTGGCGAACAATCTGCGGATGGAAAAACAGTAAGGCCATAAATATTGTCATTCGCGAAATGGAAGCTAGAATCTCCATTTCAGAGATCGAATCTTTTCCACTTCTCTTCTAAGTGATCCGTAAAAGCATCTTTTGAAGAAGACAAGTAGCTACTGCTATGGATCGTTTATGTGAAGACTGTTGTTAATTACACTGCGAACTACTTTGTTGCCGAATAACTTACTTAATTGCCTACTTGAAGACATAATCGGCACACCTTTAGAGAAGTAGCCACGAAAAAGGTTAAAACTGAACCCTATGTACACCAACTATGGCCAGGTTTACATTAAAGGATATTTTTTTGTGCTCGTGACGTATCCGGGACATTTTCGTACGGGATTCGATTTGCCTTTTACCGACAGATGCACGAATCCGAAATAATGGCGTCCCGGTTTGGTCGCGTGTCCGGAGACTTTGTATCCGTAATGTGAGAATATTGTTTTGTACACGAATGAAAGTTCTCGAATTATCGGGTGTGCGAAACGCCCGCGAATCCAAATACCCTGAATGCAATAAATCAAGAAACATTTATGAACCCGGAAAAATCTCCTCTGATGCAAACCTAGTCTATAGCAACTTGAGCATACCGCTAAAGTTTCCTCCAGTCTATAGTTTTCTGTGTTTCTCAAATAACTATGAACCAAGTCGGGTTGGTATTTACACATCAGTTCAATGTACTTCTCATGAACTTCCGCATCTGGAGAATCCTCTGGCCGCGCAGGGGTAGATGATCTGAAAATAACCGAAAAACAATGCCGTTATCCAACGCCCAGAAAAAAACAGACAGAGCTTACGTAACAGGACAGCAGAAAGAAGAGGACGGCAGAAAGTTTGTGTGTAGCAAACACGACAGGGCTATCACGTGTGTGTTTCATCGTGAGCTTCACTTAAAATTACCGTGTTCTTGTCTTTTACAAAAAGATCTGTTTAAAGAAAGGTGAGGTTTAGCGGGTATTTTTTACACGAAATTCTTTTCACGCGTGTCGGACAAGGTTTTTCGACTTCTTTCCTCTGCCGTCCTATTGCACAAGTTCATTAATAACAAGAGAGATCCATTTTAACAAGACGCTACGATAACGAAATAGAAATTGTTTAACAGGTTGTGTCTTTCGTAGCTTGCAGGCTATGCGAGGGCGTGTGCAAACTGCGAGCAGTCTCTTTTGCTCGAAAATCTGCGAGGGAGTGAGATATGGAGTATTCGAGCAGGAAAGCCGCGAGCAGCGAGTTTTGCGGGCGCCCGTACAACTCGCTGCTCGCGGCTTCTCCGCTTAAATACTCACATATCGCAATCGCTCATCGCTGACAGATCTTCCAGCAAAAGAAAGGCTGCTCGAAGTCTAGGAAGTGTGT